AAGGGCCATTCAGAAGTTCTTTGCTCAAACTGCACAAAGCCCAGTCACACTATGAAAGAATGAAGCAGACTGACAAGTTCTGTGCATCAATTACATAAGAAAATAAGTCTTTAAAACCAAGTGGACTCCAGGCATAGGCACTGTCCAGTCTATCAACATCAATATGATTTTAGGTCTAGCACTTGGCAATGATGGATAAGCTCAAAGTAATGCAAATCAACCTCAGTAGGTGTGTATCCATGATGGACCATGTTGTAACTTTGCATGATTTAGTATCCATTTAATCAAGCAGTTTCACTGATTCTAGGGCTATCTCATGTTTTTCAATGTTCTTTTAGATTAATATTAATAACTCAAAATTTATTATAAGTGTATCGTCTGTAGACATTAATATACAGATTTTGGCACACTCAAACTGAATTAATTTGTTCAAAATCCCTTTTACTACAGTGATTGATTCCAAATCTATAACTCTGGTTTGGTGGGACAGACTACAGATTTCGAGAGAAATTCTTTGAAATTTTGCATGGTTTAGATATTAATATTCACGTAGATGGACTGTTGACTTTCTCACATTACCAAGATAAAATTTACAAGGATTTTAACACTTTCTAGTGGTAAAATTAGCAATGCCTATACATTGATGATGGTCTGGAGAGTTTACTGTCTCTAGGAGTACAGTTACTCAGTTACAATTATAACAATTTTTTGTGTTACTACACAATTAAACTTTAGGGCTTATCACACTGATTAAACTAACCAGAGAAATTTATTAATCATATACAGCCATTTACATAAATACATTAACTTTTATGCATGCAATCAACAATCTAAAATGCATTTCGAGCTTTCTTACGGCCCCTCTTTAGTTAGACAATTTGATAATTTAAACATTAGGTATATAACAATCTATTAAAATTAGAACAGATATATAACAAAGACAGTTGAATGTTATAACCAAACTTGTAAAAATTTACTTTTAAAAAGCCATTCCTCGGCTTGTTGTAATAACAATTCCAAATACTCTCCCCCACATTTTTCTTTTCTGTATATCAAACAAAATGCTTTATTAGGTCTAATTTAATTTAAATATATTTTTCTTTATATGAAACTGTGTCAATCTTCTTAATTGATTATTTCTCACAAAGAAGTGCAATATAAATAACTGAAGGCTTTCTTTACATCTATTCTTTACATCTTTATTCATAGTCAGCATAAATGAAATTTATTAATTAAAACTCGTACAATTAACTTAAAATAATTTATAAGCATTATAAATAGAAATCTTTTTAGATTCTTTTTAAAAAAATTTTTTAAATATTTGAATGAATAAAATAAATTTTACAGATATTACATTCTCCAAGTTTGTAAATAGGTTCGAGAGTAAGATGCTGACAGCTTGTTGAGATGAAAAATGAGAGCTAAGTGGCGTTTAAGAACCCAAGCTTATATAAGTATTTTAGTGTTTTAAAGGCAAAAGTCACATTATTATACATTTTCAGAAAACTAAATGCGTAACACCTTAATGGAAAAGGTATGTTCTTTGTTAAACAATTGTTATTTTTAATGTTACATTGTAAATCAGATCTTTTGATTGTTTTTAGCTGACAGAAGAGGGGCAAAAACCCAAAACATGTCTCAACAAATGGAAAAAGTGAATTAAATAAATGTAAAGAAAGCCTTGTGTTATTTATATTGTGAGAAATAATCAAATAATGAAATATATTTTATCATTATAAAGTTACTTTACTTGTATTAATGTATCATCCACCAATTTTAACTTCTATTAATAACATTTATTCCTTTACTTTAACTATTCAGTGCTGGGTGTGAAAACACCACAAAGAAAACAGTACTGTCAGTTATTTACATGTATTATATTAAAACCCAAATTTAAATCTTTCTAAATTATAAAAATTTTACTTACTAAAGTATATTTATTATTAGCTGCTATTTATAGTCTCTCCCTCAAACTGCATGCCAGTACATTTCAATATATTCCTTCCTCTATTATCCTTATTTACATAAATTAACCATCCTTTATCTACATTTAACCCGGTATTATTATTTATCCGTTCTGCTTCTTCCAGTTTTACTATCTCAATATGTTCATAAAATTTTCTTTTTATTATATGTTTGTCATTTTTAATTAACCACTTTAACTGTTTCCTTCACTATTTTACATCTATCAGTGTTACAATGTGGGACAACTGCTGAATTACACCAATTAGTTTTAATTGACCTTACATGTTCTAAAGCTTAGTTCACACTGACAATAATTTGCTGGTGAAAGCGAAAAACAGAGCGAATAACCAGTCAAACATGACTCTTTTGACAGGTTATTTGCTCTGTTTTTCGTTTTCGCCAGCAAATCACACTCAGTGTTAACTAAGCTTAACTTATCTTTAATATCTGCTTATTTTCCTTGATACACTTGTTCTTATTTGAACAACTATAGCACAACATTATTTTTCTTCCATATATTATTTTGTATATTATCAGCATTTCTATTAAAGTGATTTTGTATTGTATTTAATTGTTCTGGTATTAAAACAATAATATATATATTTTTAAAATTGTTTAATTTGTTCAAAAATATTTCTAATATATGAAAGTTTAAAACAATTTTTTATCTGCACATCTTTCCTCTTTTTTGTTTTCATTATATATTTTATCATCCAACCATTTCTGTAATAATATTTTGGGGTAATTGTTCATCAGTCATGTTCAAGGTTTCAACTCAGATCATAATGCCATGTCTAGATATCCTTTTAAATACAAACAAACACCAATCCACTAGGTACATTAATATTCGTGATTGGGCCTCATTCAACAAAGCAGAAGCCCAGACTCAATTCCCACTCATTTTTATACAAATCTAAAAGCAACATCCACTGTTATTCTTTCCAAACTCTTCACAAATCTATTAAATTCAAGCTACATTCCAAATCAATGGCTAATTTAAAAGATAAATGTTCTCCCCAAAAAAGATAGTTCATCCTTTAGACAAGTGGTTCTGAACCTTTTTTTTTTGCCCATAGACCCCTCTTCCTCTTAATTTTTTTTGTAGATCCCCCACAGACATTGCACAAAAAAAAACTTATATTTTACACTAATAAAAAAAGGAAAACATTCAGAAATGTCACTGTCAAGTGACATTTAATGGTATAAGATTCTCCTAACAAACCCCAGCTTTATAATCTCTCTTTGACCTTTGTCAATGAGATATATATGCCGTGTATGTATTCAATATATTAAATAATTTTTATTTTAACCATTATGCAAAAAATGAGTAACAAAGAAATTGACTATATATATACTGTAAAAATTTAATTCTTAGTAAAACAATTGTTCTAAAGTAAAATTACCCTAAATAACATCATCCTAAATCCGCAATAGAAAGACTAACCCTTCCACATAAAGATGACAGACATGGCCTGATTGACATAGTTAACCTTCACTACAAACAAATACAGATATTGCAAAAGTTTGTCTGCAAAAAGCAAGAAACATTAGTTACATAAAGCAGTAACTCTAGCAGACTCAAATACCACACCATTAAATTTACACCAGCAACACATGGACACGACACAACATATTAAAAACATAGATACCATTAAGCAATCATGGACTCAAAAGGCACTCCATGGCAGGCATCCCTATGACCTGCCCCAGAATTTTGTTGATTAAACTGTGTCAACAGCTGGTTAGCTCAGGGATGTCTCTTTGGGGAGACGGAAGGATTAATGATTGTCATAAACACTAAAAACTGCAAAAAACACATACTCAAAGATACAATACTCACAAATGTCACTTGCAGAAAATGTCACATCGTGCCAGAAACTATACAACACATCACTTCTGGGTGCAAGCTCTTGGCACAGACAGATTATTTACATAGACATAATCAAGTAGTAAATATAATACACCAAAAGCATGCAAAAAAGCACAAATTATTAGACATCCACGAACCATACTACAAATACATTCCACAGACAGTATTGGAAAACAACACGCACAAAATGTACAATGACAGAGCCATAATCACAGATAAAACAATTTACCATAACACACCAGACATCACACTCATTGACAAACACAATAAAATCACATACATTATAGACATATCCATTCCAAACTCACAATGTACAAAACACATGCACTGAAAAAATCAGCAAGTACACAGAACTTGCTCAGGAAATAAGGCATCTGTGGAGAATGGATAGGGTGCTTATTGTACCTGTCGTTCTCTCCTGCACAGGTGTGATACCACACACACTACACAAAAGCCTGGGAACATTGCAATTGAGTAGAAATACATACATCACACTACAGAAGGCCACTATATTGAATACATGCCACATTGTTAGGAAATTTCTGACACACTTATTTAATTTTAATTTTGTGTTGGTTGCTATGCCTTGACTCTAGTCCGGCATAGTACACTGCCACCAGTGCCAACCGAGTATAACTCACAAAACCCAACACAATACAGTAAAGCGTCGATTATCCGAAAGAATTCCAGTTGGCAAATTTAAATTTTCGCCAGTGCTGTGGCGCTGCAATCTTTGGCTATGTCTTGGGCTACTCAAATATTTTACGTTTTTGATACTAAATTAACTTCTGAAGTATAATTTTTTTATTGTTTTTATATTTNAAATTTAAATTTTCGCCAGTGCTGTGGCGCTGCAATCTTTGGCTATGTCTTGGGCTACTCAAATATTTTACGTTTTTGATACTAAATTAACTTCTGAAGTATAATTTTTTTATTGTTTTTATATTTTTCAATATATTTATTTTGTTTGTACAAAATAAAGAAAATTTTTAACGATACAATAGTTACGATTATTATTTTAAAAAGTTTACGTTAGGCTTAACATCAACAAAAATTCAATGCGAAGCGACACGCAATGGGAGAAAAATTTCAACATGGGACAGGTTAATATATTTTTCGTACATAATCGGTTATCCGAAATATCGATTTTCCGAACAACCCCAGTCCCCAATTGATTCGGATAATCAACGCTCTACTGTAATAATAATAAAAACAATGTATAACTTGAAGATTTATTAACAGTTTTAACGTGTGATTTTAATGTCACAGTCAATAAAGCCAGAATTTCCATCAAGTGAAGCATAATTGATTAACTCTATTTAATGTTATCTGTCCATGATTGTCATCAATGCAAGTCTCAAAGTGATTACAATAAGTAGATTCTAGTGTATATTGAAATAGAAGTTTCTTATGTTTCGATCATCTTTTATTCACCAGTGGCAATGAACATGTTAATTGGAGGTTCGGTAAATTGTTTTTCACTTCATATTGTTTGTTTAAATATGTATAATGTAAAAATTTCTACGAGTAATTCTAAAACTTTTACTCAATACTGTACTGTAATATGGGTGTTCCCCTCAAACATCCCTAGTTTCAAACTGTTCTATAAAATCTATTTGTTCAGATATGTGAATAAAATTTGTTTTGTGCGCATATGCTTGAAAGGACTGCTACTGCCACGCAGTCTAAACCACTGGAGCCCCATTTCTTGATCCACCGAATCGCCTGATATCAACTCTGAACTTTCTTTGTGGGCACATCGAGGATCGTGCAAAGTGCCCACAAAGAACAAAGGTATAGAAGTGCTGGACGCAAGAGCCCAAGTATAAAAATTGTAGATGCCATTAATAGCTTGACTCATAATGTGCCAGCTCAGATATGGCCTAAAATCAAGTACAGAGCAAATATCATATATGCAATGTTGAGAACATATATGGAAATGAACTGATTTAATGTAGTAACTAACTTTTAGATGTAATTTCTATTACTGTTGTTTATGGTACTAAACTCATGTTTCTTTTCCCAAAATTATCTACAAAACTAGGGGCATTCAAAGGGAACACCATGCATAATAATTAAATATTTCAATATGTCATTTAATATATTTAACAATTTATTTTTCTTAAACACAAAATTGTCAAATATAAAATTACCTATGGAAAATTTAGGTTTCTTATAAAAAAATTTATAAGTTGAATGCTACACTCTTCCATCTGCTTAGGAAACAATAGTTTATTCTATGTTGCAACAATTTCTAAAAATTTCACAAAAAACATTTCTTGCCTGTTTGAATGTAAGTAAAAAGTCCAATTTCCCTTTCCAAGGCAGCAGGTACATGGTTCTCACTGTGGTGCCTTTTCACCGGCATGCATCTTGAGGTAGTGAGTGGTTAAATTTGATTTCTGGTTGAATCTCCGGGAACAAACCAAGCAGGAGAACGGCATCTCTCCACTGTGTATCCTAAGATGGTTTATCAGATGTCCCCGCTGCCTGAAACTGCGTTGGCACTCTTCGCAGGTGTACGGTCTCTCACCCGAGTGAATCTTCGAATGATACAGCAGACTGCTCCTACAACTGAATTTTAGTTGGCATATGTTACAGACAAAGTGCTTTTCTCCATTGTGAGTGCTCATATGAGAATTTAGATCACATTCGAAAATGAACTGCTTGTTGCAGACTTCGCACCGAAACATGCCGTCCTCGTTTCTCAGCTGAACGAAAACTAGAAAAAGGAAAATTAGATCATATATTTTTTTTTAAATGCAATCAATTTTATGAAATTTACTGAAATAAATATAAAATATAAATTGAAATTTGTTTAAAAGCTAAAACTTAATTAATTTTAATCACAATTAAATATATTTTTCTGTTCTCATTTAGTTTTGTATGGATATCAATGATAAGCAATTCAGTTTTTTGGTTCCAAAATAAAATTCTTTCTTCGCTCGATTGAAAAATATTATTACAATTTTTCTTTTCTTCACTCTCTAGTTTATTCTATGTTGATTCTTTCTATGATTTATTCTTTGTTGATTCCTTCTTTATGTATTTCCTTCTTTCTCATTTGTAGCAAAAGTAAATTCTATCTTGATCCAGACATCTGAAAAAATAGTAGTTAAACACTTGAAGTAATATATCACATCATTGCAGCAATCTATACAAATAACTGAAAAATTAGCATAAAATATTTTCTAAATATGATTAATTAGTTCAATTTCATCATAAGTTTACACTAAACAACCCTGTAAATAGATAAGGCCCAAATCCAAGATGGTTATTGATCTAAATAAAACACATCAAAACAGTCATTATCTTTTTAGGATGTAGTCAGCACGAACAGATACATATCTGGAAACATATCAAATATATTGTAAGAACATATACATGCTCGTGTACCAACTACATCAAAAACTAGATAACAAACCATTTGACAATTATATTCTAATATTGTACTTATCTATGCAACAGTTATAGTACAAATACTCCCGGAGAGATTTAATCTTGACAAGAATTGTATAACGTGGAGAATTTTAAAAAAGAAACACTTGTATGGCATTTGCTTACCTTTTTATTCTTCCAGTGTAATAAAATTTTGACGTCGGCATGACAGATTCTCTCAGAACATATCTTCTGGACAATTCCACCAATAGACTTAAAAATATAACCGATAACATTTCTCTTTTGACTCAAAGGAGACCAAAGTTACATACTTTGTTCACATCTTTTTTCAAATATGTGAACTGCATAGTCACGTTTGAGCTAAATTATACAAACACTTGTTGAAGAAAAAAATTACACAATCAGTCTGTATTGTATCTTATAATGTACAGATTTCTTGAGTAGAATCAATGTTCTTTGTCATGTTTCCAACATATAATCCAGTTAAGAAAAGCTTAGCTTCAGCAGTCTCACAGCAATCACACACAAAACTTAGCAAATAAATACATTTATTTTTATAAGAATTTCTAAAATAAAAAAGAATAGCGTTTTCTACTCGACTCAAACTTTTGCTTCCAAAGATAAAAACACACTCCAAAACACTAAATTTAGGTTATAAATTAACAAAAACAAATAATCTGTCTGTACAGTAATTTATGGTTCTGGGTAAGTATAAAGAATTTTACATCACTTAATAATTATTATTTTGCTCCGTAAATTACCGGTTTTTTTAAGGCTTTTCAATCTGTGTGTTCAGACAGCAAAGTGTCGGTCAACAACCAATTGAATGTAAAGTCAGATAGACAGCCCGATCGACAAAGAAATTTAATGTTGTTTCCAAAGTAGGTTTCTGTGTTCTGTGCAAAATACAAGTATACATTTCACTATCGGTTCCTTTAACAAACTCATTTTGAAGCACACTATGACTAAATGTCATTCTACCCAGGTGTTTAGAATGCTACGGAGTCATCCCGACCATTTGAACAAAAAATAAACAATCACATGTGTCAAGTGATACAAAATGCGGTAGTCATCTTGCAATGTCAAAAATTAACAATTGCTACTTTACAATCATATTCTAGAAGTTTCGAAAATTTATCACCAATTCCATCTACAAAATTAAATACCTAATTTTTGACACTTATCAAAACCCAGATTAAAATGCCTATAAAATAAGTTTGGTCAAGAGTTCTTACCCAATACCGATAGAGGGCAGCCATATCACACTAAAAATATCAGTTCTTGTCTGATCACACAATACCAATAAGGTTATCACATGTCAAAAAAACAGAGTTGGAAAGCTATATTGTTTAATAGACTTGTCTAACCTATCATAGAAATGTTAAACTTCCAATAGAAACATCACATCACTCACCAACATAAGATCTACGAAATGTTTCCAACTTATTCCCACACTTCTTACCATTAGAAATGTCAATACTGTTCATAATCATCTTTATAAATCAGATGAGGTTAGACACAAATTACATACTACACTCTGTAAGGATAATAACCAAGAATGGGCTGGCAGCAACAAGTTTCAATGCAATAAACTGATAGAGTTGAATAAAAAATTTACTACAAGAATCATCACTGTAAGTTTACTCTATCAGGAAGTTTACTCTATCAGGACAAATATAGTCTCAAGACATTTTATACTGTTTTTTTCTCACCATTCAACAATATATGCACAACCAAAAGTTTAAAGCTAAGAAATGCAATGGATAAGAAGGAAAGGATTAGCTCTAAGTAGATTTCTATTTATCACAACGTAACAAAATGGATACTCATGTTGGAAATTCAACAAAATCATCGACAAAAAGATTTTATCATCATCAATATTCATTCTCAAGTCTAATAGATGCATCATTCTATATATATATATATAAATATTTTTCGATTGCAAATTATCTATAAGTTATGTGTTTTTAAGTAAAGTAAGATAATCTGACAACTTTTTTTATAAATAACAATTGAATATAGCAAGGAAAGAAGCAACTTAAATTGCTACTTTGCACAGTTTAATCAGAATGGGTTTCAAATAGTAAAATGTCATCAAATGATTTAAAACTATGTTATGCATAGATAAACAAATTTAATGTAATAAGCCACTTAAATATGTACAGTCATGCTTCCTATTTCATTTAAAAACTAAAGAATGTAACAATAAGAAATCATGCAAGGTGTGACAGAGAAATTTATCTCTAAACGACGATCCTCCAAATAAAATTGCATTAAATAAATCTCATCACAAGTGTTACTTATTACTTATACTCAACAGTAAGTCACAAAAACAAATACTTCTAGAACATAAACCAATACAAAGAATGATTCCAATAAACATCGAAAGTATATTTAATTGATCATTTCTTTCAAAATTTCTCGATTAATTTCAACTGCACTTTAATTATATAACTTCAATCGCTTAAATTATTTCTTTTATCATCAGATGAACTGTATCAACAGATGTGCAAAATTCTGCTAATTTCAAATGCAAAAATACTGTACAAAATTGTGCAATATTTCAGAAATATCAACAAAATATTATTTAATTTATGTTTATTATTGAAGTAATTTGTTATCATAATAAAACTTGTTTCGTTAGATATTTTCACTCGTGGAAAATCAACATATACAGTTGATCGAAGTAATATCTAAGTACAAATGCCAATTTTGTTGGTGTTTTTTTTATTAATGTTTTTAGAATATGAAACTCATATTAATGGATGGTCTACAATTAATTTCTTTAAATTTCAGATATCTTACTAAATTTTTCAAGAGTACATTTGTTTTTATTGCATCTGCCATACGCAAAATCAATGCAACACTCATCCATTGTGAAAATACCTTCGCCAATATTTAAAATAATCTCAAACACTGCATCTAAATAAATTTTCCTCATTCTTAACGAAAATGTTTGTATGTATCTAATTAAATGATAAATATAACTAATTAACGAAAATTTCATGAGTTACCAATATTTCGAATGTAATTTTGTCATATATTAAGAAAGGCACATGAGATTAGAACATCAATAAATATTATTGTTAAAAGTTATCAAAGGCAGAAAATACTAATTATAAAATATTTAATCTGTATTAGTAAAAGATGTACATTCGAATATCAGATCGGATGAATAAATGGAACGAACGCACCCGATCTCTTCTTCGTTCAGCTCGGAATGCCACAGGTCGACCATCAGCACTACCCTGGATTTGCTTTCCGGCGTTCCCTCATGGTGTGCACTGTGCAGAAAAGAATCGTCAAAGAGCAGACATTTTCCATTCTCCCAAAATCTCTTTTCGTTTCCCACCACAAGATAACAAGTAGTGGGATCGACCTGTAGTCCTATAGGAAACAAAAAAATTATATTCTCTATAGTTGAATTTCTATGATAAGATTAAATTTGATTGATATAATTCATTGTATTGATAGAAACACATGTAAATTCCCACTTTTCTGCAAAAAAAAAAAAATTATTTCTGCTCCCATCAAAATTTCCACAGATTTTCAGTTTCAATGGTGCCGATTCTGAATCTGACAAGAGAATTGGCCTAACATCCACCATTTTTGAGAGAAACAAGGTTTTTGAAGGAATATAATTTCTGTTTGAAATATATTTATTAGCTACACACATATTGCTAATTGGCTAATTAGATAAAAATAAATTTGTGTCAATTACTCCTTTTTCATAATTCTATACATTTAAAAACCAAAACACTTAATGACATGTTTTCTTCCTTTTATATTCTTCCTCTGAAGTCTCACGCTGTAGATTGCAGCAGTAATCTGATAATATGTTCTCGTTCCACCTTCCACCATACCACTTTTCCATTTGAGAAAGAATCTGATGAAACTTTCCTCCGTGTTCATCAGAAATGGCTCTAAGGTTAGCAGAGGAAAAAATCTAAATGAGAATCAGGAAATGCATCTGGAGTGACATATTGCAACCAAGTGTTTCATACAATGTTACCAATTTCACAATTTCCTCGTAGTTGTTAGCTTGTACATTCCCCAAAAAATTCTTGTTTGTGTTTCCTTCCTAACTCTCTTTTTCCATAATAGGATGCCAAAAATTTTCACTGATAGAGATGTAACGCAAGTAATCGAGTCTCTCTTTTTGAAAGATCCAAATTACAAATCAGATCGTTCAACAGAAACTGAGTGTCGAGCCATGGCTCTTCTATGGGACTCCATGATAGGTGCTCATCACAACTTAATTGTCATCTTGGTGAGGCATCTTCAGGAGCAATTTCTCTTCTGAATCTCACTTGAAATTCAGAGGTGGGCTGGCACTGGCATCAATTCGTCGTGGGGACCGATCTAAGTGCAGATTCACAATTCAGATATCATATCTTGCATTTTAATTTTGCCATATAGTCTTCGACGACAGTCATGGAAAAGTAACAATCATCGACGTGATTCCAAGGTTCCCATCAGACTACAGGAGTGGCAAGACATCGATTTGCATGTCCCCTTCAACCATCCAGTCGATGTCCGTGTGCACAAATCACAGCATATTTTAGGAGCCAGATTTTCTTTTAATTTCCCATCTTACAGCCAAAAGAACAATAGTATGTTTTCTTCACTAGAGGCATTTTTGTTCTGCTTTCAAAGTCAATTCTCCACAAATGTAGTAGAAGCAGTCTGGTTGGTCTTTCCACTTGCATGACTTGTCCAAGCAAGAGTGTCAGAGTCTAAGACTAAGTTCCTTGGATTCCTGCCGAATCTTATATAGTCAACACACCTGGCAGATGGGTGAAGTTTCACCTGGCACATGATGGCACACTAATATACATAAAAATAATGCATTTTCTTTCAAGGGAGAATTTTGATGCAGAACAGTGTAATCAATAAATGTACACATTTAAACAAGCAAATAGCTTTCAATTAATAAAAACATTTTTCTGATAATTTAAAAAAAATTATGGACTGAAAACAAAAAATAAAATATTCGTGCACTTTAAAACTGTAATAACTCGAGTTCTTTATGAGTTAAAATCAATTCACAAAATATGCTCATAAGATTACTGACACAACTAGTGCCCAGTGTCTACCTATGCACCCAGTTGTGAAGTAAAAAATAATTAAAAGATGACGCAGTTTCAGAATAAGTCAATGCTTAATTTACCCTATTCATCCAATGTTAATAAATTAGGTTCGATCTTTTAATACGAGGACAAATAAAATAAGACTTACTTATCAAAACCCCATTCTTTAAACCATCTTCATATGAGAAACACAAATGTTACTAGTACTGCCGTAACCAGAAGCCAATTGGAAAATACACTTGTCAAATTGCTAAACTGCTCTATAATATGTACGGCAATCTTAAAATATTATCATTACTTATCCAACAAACTTAATTATCTTTTCTATTCAAATTATAAATTAGTTCTATCTCATACGCAATCTAAACATATGGACGTACAGATGCGAGCGAACGTTCCTTAAGGGACGGGCAACGTGAAAATACAAAGACAACACAACAAATATTTTACTTTTGCCAAAGGCGTCTCTCTCCGACCGGCATATAGCAATTTTTCTTGGCCGTGGCAAAAACATCCTCGCCCACAATTCAATACCTCGCTCGCTCACACAGGGTAAAGCGGACCTCTTTTGCTAGTTTTTTAAACAAATTACGTACAATATTTCTCAATTAATTAAAGGCAGTCGTAAATATTTTATTTTTCGTTAGTAAAAATAACATTAGTTTATAGGGATTGAACTCACTACGTGCCCATGAGCTTTCTTCGAACCAGAAAAAACTTTCCCACTCCTTCGACGGCCCCGCACCCACCCGCCAGTTCGAGTTTGTTACAATTTTAAAGCACACGAGCGCCTCGCATGCATTCCGGCACGACCATTCGACTTAGAGATCGCTTCCGTCGCCAAACTCACCCAAGTGACACCTTATCCGACAGTTGGAGGCTCCGAAGTGGGGGGCCACGGCCGTCCCCGGCTCCAGCACCGAGAAACTGGCGTAGCCAAAGACCGTCCCGACCATCAGACCGGACAGTCGTCGCAGCACGTCGACCGTCCGGGGACAGGCGGTGGCATTGACGGTGAAGATCCCCTGACTCATCAAGTGGTAGATCCTCCAACATCCGGGATTCGCCTGGTTGACGATCCAACCGGGTTTTCCCTCCAGGCTACGAAACTCGTCCAAAATTATGGACAAGTTATTTTCTAGTATCTCGACGTCTTTTTCGTGAACGTGAGTCGCATCGTACCATCTTCTCGGTTCTATACGCTTCAACCAGAGTAATGTAGGCCGTTGAAGGGATTTGAAGGTCTCCGGACTCTCTCTTTTAGCCATAATTGCCTCTTTTAAGTCCGACAGCATTTCGGGATTTCGACATTCTTCCAGATAATTCTGGAATTTTCCTACAGTTCTCTCTCGAAAGCTGTCTCCCGAATTACATCGTAAACAAGACGGCGCCTGACAGACGCCATCGTTCCATTTCTTGGCATGAAATTTTCGATTATAAAAATAAATTAACGTTGCGACCACGGCAGTTCCTATCAACAGAGCCACCGGAGTATCTAGAGACTCGTAAATAAACCCGCAACATCTCTCGAAAATCTCCATATCGCACGCACTCTAAACTCGTACTAGTCCGAACGATCCCTTCTGCACGACGCCATTTTGAAATTAACGAAACTGTTGCCAGATCGATTGGATTTGATCTGGCAACTTACAAGGATGCAGCCTCGCACGGTAAATCGCTCGAAAATTTATACTTAATTAAAACGACTTTAATAATAATAATTTATCAAATTTACAATTGTTTAAATTTTTACTCAATTTTTATAGTTTCCTTAAAATATTTTAATTTTATTATTATTTCGTAAAAATATTGCCTTTCGACGGCGCACGATAATGGCAACGAGGATGCTTTTCTATTTGTTTGGTATTTTTAAATCGGATTTAAATGATTTTTGTCTAAAAGTAAAATGTAACGATTGATAATCAATTGCTGCGCCAAAACTTCGTCGAACTGTGAAAATCTGTCGTCTGCTATTGTGAATCGATCTGTATTTCATCACTCGATACCAGATTTCTGCTTAAAAGAACCCCTTTTAATTTATCGTGTCTGCTGCTGGCGTCCGGATCCGGGTTCGAACACGTTAGTTTTTACGGATCCTTTGTCTCTCTCTCGATGCCGTTTTATCGACGCAGGATTACGGCCCATTGTTATAAATACAATTACACCTAAGCGCACGAGTAAACATATGCGCTACTTACGCTATTCCCGAACCGTTGAGGAGAAATTTCCACTTACCTAATGCACTGTATTGTCATTCAAATATGTTTACTCCCTGCACGGTAGGCAATGTAATTTTGATTAAAATACCTGAAAATCGGCGCAAACTTGTGTCCGAAAGTCCAGCCGTCGCATGGGAATCTTTAAAGAACTTTAAAGAATCTGTAAGTTCGTAGAGCTGCGCAACTTTACTTCGTAATCGTGTTGCGTATAGTTGTGTAGTCTGTGCTTTCTAATTGTGTGTTAATCACAGTCTATAGTTTGTATTCGCCAGTGTACGCGCACGCAATTTATAGTTTACAGATGCAGGTGGATCATCGATGCCACTCCTTGTCGAATTAAAAGCGACGAGACGGGGATTTAATCTTTGGCATCGTGTTTTTATTTCTTTGAATACATATGTACAGTATATATACTAAAGTTAGTCACAAAAAAAAAAACTTGGAAAAAAGACATCATATACATTATCGGTTGTACATTTAAGAATTGATAGTCAGCAATTTCCAGAGTATCCATCGGAGATTGAAAATTTTCGAACTTCGCTTTCGGGGTCCCGCGTGGACGTGTTGTTTGAAAGAAATCGACGTGGAACGAACGTGACTTTCGTGAAGAACGATCTGCGCAGAAGTTTTAGGAACTTGTCGTCGTCGCAAATCACTAGAATTTGTCACAAAAAAATCGTGGAAGAAGACGAGGAAACGAACGGGTCGTTGCAGCAGTCGCGTCGAATTCCCAAACGGACTCGTGCGAGGCCCTCGTACACATAAATTTGCCATTTTTAAATGCAATTTTTTTTAACACAAAACTCGAAAAATTACAATTTTCTTGTGGATTTCGTTTTTTTCCACAACCTTTCGAATTTTTTAGATGTTTATTATATAATAAATAAAAATCTTTATATATATATATATATATATATTTATATATATTTAGTTCTATCAAATATTCTACAGAAGCTTGAATAATTTAGTAGTGTTTTGCATACGAATTCTTTCCGTTAACAATGGAGATGCCGGCGCGTGTGGACACGATGTTTTTTTAATCGAATATTTGATAAAGTCGAGTGAGATAAATACAAACAGTGCAAGCTAATTGCGACTTTTTTTGGGAATTTCATCTCTTTATAACTAAATTTACTGTATTGTACATAAATATACAAAATTATACACAATTGTGATCATAAACAATGTACAAAAAACAGAAATTAAAGGTCTTTCGGCCTTTAAAAATATTTTTTTAAATCAAACGCAAGTCGGTAAGAGGAAGAATGTGCGAGAAAGCGTTTCTCTCGGATGACGATTTGCGTTTGGTAGCTCGACGGAAAAACAGAACGTCACGCAAATCATCTCTCTGTTCTGTGCCCTCGCTACAATTAAGAGTGGCACACAAAATCCATCGTGTTTCGTACAAATAATAGGCTTTCTTAGCGTAATAAATAGAAACAAAATCGAGAGCTGTATCTGCATTTATGTCGAGAGAAACAAAGTATTGTACATACACCGTACACCACTTCATTTGTAATTGTGTTTAGCATTCTTTCTGTGACTAGTACCTTGACTTTTTTCAATCGGCTAAATCGTTAATTTCGCAATCTGTAAGGATTCCGTCGATACACCTCGTACGCTAATAAGTAAATTAACAAATAGCGTGTCGCGTAAGTAATGATAGGAACAATTATCTTTTCTGCACTGGTAAACTGTAGTTACTTAAAATTGTGACCCAAGAAAGGATAAAAAAATATTGTAAGAACAGTTCCGTATGGTGCCTGATTAGCAGTTCGTAAAGAATACAATTTAAAAGTTTGACAAAAATCTCATTACCTTAGTCAAAATGAGAACGGAAATGAAAATGCGCCGCTTACTGGCAACATTTTCATTTCTATATAAAATTATGCGTTGTGGGTAAACTAAAAACGAATGCGTCGTGTAAATTGTAAATGAAAAATGATTAAAAATTTTAAAATTAGGATTCAAAACGAGGGCGCAAACATATCCAAACTATATCTTTGCAGCAGTTTCGATGTCATCCTAAATTTCAAATGCGCAAGAAATGTCCTTGCACGACATCTGTGACAAATTTCACACCTTTTTCCGAGCAAATCAATCGATTTGTTCGATATATTTTATTTTGTTTTCTGCCCAAAGATCGGTTTTAACTGGTCGTGGCCAAACTTCTCTCGGTCCTCGATAAATTGGCAAACGAAAATAACAAAGTCTAACTCCCGTACCGTGCGAACCACCTTATAAAAGTAATTTAAAAAAAGCTATCCTGCAAATCTTTTTGTTAAGTTTGGGGCGTGTAATTTCCTGAGAATTACAAATTTTTGAGTAAAATGTCGACAAAGAAGTTTTGCGATATTTGAAAATATTAAAACGTTCGTTTAAATATAAACGGGTATATCCTTCTTGTCACGTTAACCCCAAAAATACAGCTTGTTTTTTGTAAAGAACATATAATATGTAATAATAAATTAAATGATTTGCATGAGAAGTGAACACTATGCATCGATCAATTTTATATATACATATATGTATATATAAAATAATATATACATGCATTTATATATATATATGTAGCTTTTAAACGCAGATAAAGAGCAATCTTTGAATATGCATGCACGCAGTGCCAAGTTCATACTCGTCTAGGAATTCCACGACTCCCGACAGACTTAATAAGTGGACTCGACGGGCACGACGGTGTGAAACGTGAATAAAATTAGTATTTCCGTAGCGAGAGTGGATGGCTCGCACGGCATTTCGTGTTCGTGCCGTTTTCTGGACCCCCTACTCTTACCGTTTACCCATTCTTGCACGCTCCCGAGTCTTGCGGACGAGTCGGCGGAGGTCCAAACAGACTTCGGACGTGCATAGTTACGTGAAATTAACGTTCGGATACTAGCGAGCGTCCCGTCGAGCCGTCCGTCCGTTACTTCCGCGACGATTTAAAAAACGGATTCTGCCGAGCGTGACAGATGTATGGGATGCGAGGGACTTCTTGCCAATCGTTTCTTGGGAAGCAAAGGTAATTGTGACAGAATTGTTAGTAATTTACTAAATTCTGGTCTATCCGATGATTTGAAAGCCCAACACATCATCAGGATTTCCTTTAAAGAGAAAAAAACAATAACAACGATATTGCTACAGATGACTACAAACATTACTTTCTAAGGATTAATAGCGATAGAAAAACTTTTGTTGGATCGGCATTATAGTTTAATCTATTTGCATGTGCAAAATGCACACTCGAATTATTTTTTAAACTGACTTTAGCACATTTGCTTGTAGAATCTCCACGAAATTTTATAATTACTTAATTCTGTCATTTAATTTCAATACATTGTATTTCTAACGCTTTAATCTACGTGCTAAATACAAACTATGAAAAATTGGCTTAGAATTACCTTAACGTCACGTGAAGCTTGTATGTTTGCTAAAGACTGTTTCACTCCTTTTCCCACTTGCCAAATAATGGCCTCCGAAGGAAGTCCTTGAAATGGCCATTCTCCGCACAGAAGTTCGTACCAGACCGTCCTGAAAAATAAACCAAAACATTAACTTTTCCGAGGTAAGTTTCGGGTGCGACGGACTATTATTTAAAATTTACGAGTCTTTTGGTAGCATTAGTAATAAACTTTAATTATTTGACGGTGGCTTAAAAATAATTTAAATGTACGAATCTGACCAGTTTGTATATTTGTACGCTGACGTGTGTAAGAAGCATTACTAATAATAAGCACATTATGAATTAATTGTAACAGATTAAACATTTGTTAAAATTGAGACGTTTAAATTATAGAATCTTATAGATTTTAAAGTGGCATTATAAATATTCGACTGCGAGCTCACCCGAAAGCGTAGACGTCCGAAGCCGTAGAGAATGGGAGGTCGTCACCTTCCTGTTGGTTTCCTGCCCTCAGACTGTGAATTACTTCGGGCGCCAGATAACATAACCAGCCTTTGGGAATGGTCAACCATTCTCCCTTCCTGTAAATCACAGAAAAAATTTATTGTCAATGTTTTAAGATAAACAATCTTTAATTTTGTAGTAGTCCACATTACTTAAATATTAACACTAAGATTGGATTCAATTTTAAAGGATTTTTACTTATCTTATTATACATATTTAAAATATATCATATTACTTAACTTACCTATTTTACTGTTAAGTAATACAGGTAAGTTAACATAAGTTATATACTTATATACTGCATACTAGCAACCCTCTTCAGAATAACGTTATAAAAGAAAAGCGGCACTTAGTACCAGTATTAATTTTATCAATTTAAACTATTTTATTAAATTTATCACAAGGTGGCCTCTAGTCTAATTATTTTATATCTAATTATTAAACTGGTCTTAAGGTAGCCTGGCAAAGCCAGTGGAGTGCGTCAATTGGTGTGATTTATATTATGTAAAATGAGATGTAAATACCTGTTTCCGTGGCATAACTTTGTGACTGAAAACAGACCGAAATCCGTTATGACGACCTTGCCGTTTTCGTAAAAAATGTTTCTTGTCTTTAAATCTTTGTGAACGATCTCTCTGGCGTGAAGATATCCCATCCCCTGAAATAGAAATAAGTAAAAGATATTCAAAATTGTTCATATTATGAGCAAAGCACTGAGAAGAAACAAACAATAATAAATATTACATTAAGATTATTTGTAAAAAAAATGGCTTTATAAGTAATATAAGCACAGAATTTAAACATTATTGTAAAAAACTTAAAAGTTGTGCATTTTATTCAAATAAAGCAAATAAAATTAGATGTTTTAATTCAGAACGCATTTTATCTACAGACAAATTTGATAGATCTTCAATTAATTGAAATATATTAACAAGTATATTAAAAACAATGTAACACATGTATGACATGTCCTTATTTTATTCTTTGCAACCATTCTTGAACCTACAATATTTCATCTTCAAGTGTTACATGAATTACAGAACTGAAACTCCAAATCAAAGGAGTTTAAAAAAAACGATTTGAAACATTTACTGTAGAAATTCTAAATCAGAAGGAGCTGGCCACATTCCTCTCTTCCCAACATCTTACCCTCGTGCCTTAAGTGAAAAATAAGTTAAATGATCATCTTTTCACCTGTTTCTACCAGTTGTGTTATTTTTTGGGTCTGGTCAAGGTTATTATACGTAAGACTAATTAGTTTCTTCTGCACTTGCCCTTCTTTTTCAGGTACTATCATTTACCAGTTGGAAGAGGAAAAGAAGTCATGGATGTATCAAAGAGAAAATTACAGGAATTCTATTACTGTGGGACTGACAGAAAAAGAATGTTAAACTGAAAGTTTGTTATAAATGTTTGTGCAATTGAAAGATTTTGTTGTGGTAAGGTCAGTAAAAATCTAAAATTTTGTTATTACAAGGGTTGTTATAATCTACTGTATAACTTAATTCTTCTTTTGAGTTTTATTCATAATCTGATGTGATGATGATCTTAGTAATAAAAAGTGTACTTCTTACTTTTTGAATTGTTTGAATAACTTTTTAAAAAAGCAACCATAATATGTAATTACAAGACTGATTGTTTTACATTTTGAAATGTTTTATTTTTTGTAATTATAAAAAATGATTGAAAAGTAACAAACAACTGCAAATTATACATAATCTTGTAAAGTTTAATGTAAGTAAACTATACACCAATGGTTCTCAATGTTTCTCACATCATAGATCACTAAAACCCTCACACCATGATAGACTGTAGAGCCCTACGGGTCAGCAGTCACACCAGTTGAGAAATGTGACTGCACAGGACTAAACAAAATAACACATAGAACAAAAATCTGATTTTCTGCATTAACACCTTGTTTTGTCTCCCAGACAATTTGACCACTTGTCATAATATAGTGCCAATTTTTGTGTCCTGTAGGTACATAGAATGCAGGACATTGAAATCAAAATTACTCTTCCACAGTTGCATGTACTTCATTACTTTAAAATATGAAACTGCTAGAATGCCTAAATGACACCAAAACACGAGACAATCCTTGCAGCCTTGATTTCAACTTTCAAAGTGGAAGAGAGGATGGAAGAGATAAAGACAGTGTTTCTCACTGCTACTCTGTGAAAAAATTCCACTGGTCTGCAGAAAAATATTTGACTGTACTGAGGCACAGTTCATTACAAGTGATATTTATATAGTTACTTATTTAAGCACCTAAAAGGGGTTTTTTGGACTAATAAGCAATGTTATATCCTTCAAATCCGACTTTCACCAAAGTTCAAGAATTATTTTAGATGAGTTAAACAAGATAGTTGTTGTAGTTGATTACAAACTGTTAATGTGGTCTCATAGATGGCACCCATTGTATAAAAAATTTTACATAAAATATTACTGGAGAGGATCTGCAAAAACATTCAATCCAACATGCATATAAATTAAATATCTGAAAATTAAAATTGTTTCTGAGTAATTTTTGAACTCCCAGTGAAAATCAAATATGAAAGAAATAACAATTTGTTTATTAGTCCAAAAAACCCCTTTTAGGTGGTTAAATAAGACTGAAAAGTACAACTGATTACATCTGGCTAATATTGCTGATTTTAGCTTATTACTATACATTTAAATACAGTAGAACATTGATTATCCGAAATAATGCGGGACTGGGGTTGTTCAGATAACTGATTTTTTGGCTAACTGATCATTTACGAAAAATATATTAAACACAAAATTGTACTGTATATATTTTGAATCACATTTACAAATTCATACCTTACATATCTTAGATAAAATAGTACATTAATTAAAGTAGGCCTACAGTTTAGGTTGGCAGGGAGAGAAAGCAGTAGCAGAAATTTGAATTTGCCGACTGAAACACTTTCAGTTAACTGATGTTTCGGTTGATCGGTACTCAGATAATCGATGCTCTACTGTAGTAATCTAGAATTATTTCTCATACCTTCTTACATACAGTAACTCAGATAATCATAATAAATAAAATAATTCATAGATTCATATAATAACTGATCCACATAAAATTATCGATAATTTTACCAGTCCATCATGATAAAATTTAGAAACACTGGATGAAGATGCTTGTGATAGAGATGGAAGACCACAGCTTTCCATCTTTTCTCCATCAAGAGGCTTGTTTCTCTCTTGTAAAAATCTCCAACACCATTTTTACAACATTCTGGCAATTTGTGACACACACACTCCACACCTTAACTGGCTGCTCTAGCATTTTTGGCTCGGATATGCCTTTTGCCTAAAAAGTTGAGATAACGCTGCTGAGTTTCTCTCAAAATCATATCTCTAGGCACGTTGTCATTTTCGGAGCCATTACTCTAGGTCCACAACACACAGATCCAATAGAAACCAGTCAACTAATATATCACATTCAAATATATATTTTTTTCTAAATCACAATTAAATACATTCATAATAATCCACTCTCAAATATTNTTACGAAACTACTAAAACATGTTACGCAATATATTTTATGATTTCCATTTGTTAAAAATCATCGAACGTTGACTTCTAGAGAAAATTACCACGTCTCTCGCCAACTCGTTAAAACGTTTTGTTTTAGATTCTATCATATTTGATACGTTTCCATAGGAATTTTTATTTCGGCCTTTTTCCTACGTGAGGTACTACTAGGAGGGCATTTCTTTATGTTTGTCCTCATTTTGCCAAACTATGAAATTAATCGTATAACGAGAGAAAAATCCTCATATATTTTAATCGGCGCGTATGGAGTTCCTTCGACGGATTTGAATTCGTGTCCTAAAAGTGCTAGATAGAGTCTCGATCGATCAACCGGTTGTCATATTTGCGTAAATTACAGAGTTCGCTATCTGTAAAAGGTATAAAGCTTTATTTTAAAATATCAGTTAATGAATTTCGCAAGCGTATAAAACACGGTTTCGGTTTATCTCGACTCACTCTAATCAGAAAATTCCTCTTTGCAAAGAAAAATCCCGCCACGGATATTCCAAAAGGTCTTCCTCCAAATCTCTTCATAAAACCAGAAATCTGGAAAAAAAATATTTTTATATGTAAGTGAGCAAATTGCTGATTTAGGAACATTAACTTCTTAAAAGCAAATACTTTAAATCTGTATTCCACTGTCAGCTGCGAAGAAAAAAACTTCCCTATAGAAATGAAATTATCGTACACTTGAAAAGATATTATATTACACGGAAAATGTTTGCTGTTGCTTAATGACATTACAGATATAATACGTGAAATTTAATAAATAAAAATGATACTTACGATAGAAGTAAATGACGATAGTGCCCGAGACGTTGCTAAAGTTAATACCGTTAATACGAAGGCGAAGACAGCGACGATAAAACGAAGAAGAATATCGATGTGAAAAAAGAATACAGCGTACAAAAGAAAGCGGACTTCGTAGACAAAATTAACATAAATCAGAGGGAAAAAGAACTTGCATTTTTCGTTGATGTCTTCAAACATTTCCCAGACTTCCAGAAGTTTTTCCATCAGATCTTGCAAGAAACCCTCGGTTGCGTTATTGGAAAATTGCAGTTGCGTAGAAATTTTCTTCAATTTTTTAACCAATATTAGTAACAATCAGGCGAAGGATAGAAGCACGCGCATCATACCCGACGTAACATAAATATATTCGATTTGATAAGTAACGGTGCAGAAGACAGACTCCATAATTACCTCGTAGTAGAGTACCGCTAAAGCGACGTATGATGTTAATATAAACACGATTATTTCGACGTAGAGCGAATAATTTCCAAAGATCAGAAAGTTTTCGTTGCGAGGAACATCCTCAGCGATTAACGTCGTGAATAGTAAAAGCGCTTCCAGCCACAAAATAAGCTCTACCGCGTGTGTATAAAATGTAAATAAAGCGTCTATACCACGAGTTCTCGCTCTTCGACAAGGACAAGCTTCTATAAAGCTAAGTCCGAAAACTTCCATGGCAGAAAACAGAGGTTGAAGCTTTCTAAAGATACGTCAATTTAATACACCTAAGTACTCAATGAAAATTAAACGTAGTTAAAAACAAAAAATCGTATCTAAAATTATATGGTAGAAGCCGTTCTTCCGGTTAAGCCTTAATCCTCTCCCTCTCTCTTTCCCCCCGCGGGGAAATTTCGAAAAATCCCTTTTTAGTGCGCGTTTTCGTGACGTACCCTAACTGCGTACCAAATTTCATCTCTCTAGGTCCAGCGGTTTGCTCTGGGCGATGATGAATCAGTCATTCAGTCAGTCGGGACAAAAGAAAATAAACGGTTCTGTGTAAGAACGCGAACATCTCTGTCTTTTATCCATTAACGCATTTTTAGTTTTCCATTAAAGAACGTTAATTGAGTCTATAAGTATATGTATGTACAGTATGTATATATANAAGTTTGGGGCGTGTAATTTCCTGAGAATTACAAATTTTTGAGTAAAATGTCGACAAAGAAGTTTTGCGATATTTGAAAATATTAAAACGTTCGTTTAAATATAAACGGGTATATCCTTCTTGTCACGTTAACCCCAAAAATACAGCTTGTTTTTTGTAAAGAACATATAATATGTAATAATAAATTAAATGATTTGCATGAGAAGTGAACACTATGCATCGATCAATTTTATATATACATATATGTATATATAAAATAATATATACATGCATTTATATATATATATGTAGCTTTTAAACGCAGATAAAGAGCAATCTTTGAATATGCATGCACGCAGTGCCAAGTTCATACTCGTCTAGGAATTCCACGACTCCCGACAGACTTAATAAGTGGACTCGACGGGCACGACGGTGTGAAACGTGAATAAAATTAGTATTTCCGTAGCGAGAGTGGATGGCTCGCACGGCATTTCGTGTTCGTGCCGTTTTCTGGACCCCCTACTCTTACCGTTTACCCATTCTTGCACGCTCCCGAGTCTTGCGGACGAGTCGGCGGAGGTCCAAACAGACTTCGGACGTGCATAGTTACGTGAAATTAACGTTCGGATACTAGCGAGCGTCCCGTCGAGCCGTCCGTCCGTTACTTCCGCGACGATTTAAAAAACGGATTCTGCCGAGCGTGACAGATGTATGGGATGCGAGGGACTTCTTGCCAATCGTTTCTTGGGAAGCAAAGGTAATTGTGACAGAATTGTTAGTAATTTACTAAATTCTGGTCTATCCGATGATTTGAAAGCCCAACACATCATCAGGATTTCCTTTAAAGAGAAAAAAACAATAACAACGATATTGCTACAGATGACTACAAACATTACTTTCTAAGGATTAATAGCGATAGAAAAACTTTTGTTGGATCGGCATTATAGTTTAATCTATTTGCATGTGCAAAATGCACACTCGAATTATTTTTTAAACTGACTTTAGCACATTTGCTTGTAGAATCTCCACGAAATTTTATAATTACTTAATTCTGTCATTTAATTTCAATACATTGTATTTCTAACGCTTTAATCTACGTGCTAAATACAAACTATGAAAAATTGGCTTAGAATTACCTTAACGTCACGTGAAGCTTGTATGTTTGCTAAAGACTGTTTCACTCCTTTTCCCACTTGCCAAATAATGGCCTCCGAAGGAAGTCCTTGAAATGGCCATTCTCCGCACAGAAGTTCGTACCAGACCGTCCTGAAAAATAAACCAAAACATTAACTTTTCCGAGGTAAGTTTCGGGTGCGACGGACTATTATTTAAAATTTACGAGTCTTTTGGTAGCATTAGTAATAAACTTTAATTATTTGACGGTGGCTTAAAAATAATTTAAATGTACGAATCTGACCAGTTTGTATATTTGTACGCTGACGTGTGTAAGAAGCATTACTAATAATAAGCACATTATGAATTAATTGTAACAGATTAAACATTTGTTAAAATTGAGACGTTTAAATTATAGAATCTTATAGATTTTAAAGTGGCATTATAAATATTCGACTGCGAGCTCACCCGAAAGCGTAGACGTCCGAAGCCGTAGAGAATGGGAGGTCGTCACCTTCCTGTTGGTTTCCTGCCCTCAGACTGTGAATTACTTCGGGCGCCAGATAACATAACCAGCCTTTGGGAATGGTCAACCATTCTCCCTTCCTGTAAATCACAGAAAAAATTTATTGTCAATGTTTTAAGATAAACAATCTTTAATTTTGTAGTAGTCCACATTACTTAAATATTAACACTAAGATTGGATTCAATTTTAAAGGATTTTTACTTATCTTATTATACATATTTAAAATATATCATATTACTTAACTTACCTATTTTACTGTTAAGTAATACAGGTAAGTTAACATAAGTTATATACTTATATACTGCATACTAGCAACCCTCTTCAGAATAACGTTATAAAAGAAAAGCGGCACTTAGTACCAGTATTAATTTTATCAATTTAAACTATTTTATTAAATTTATCACAAGGTGGCCTCTAGTCTAATTATTTTATATCTAATTATTAAACTGGTCTTAAGGTAGCCTGGCAAAGCCAGTGGAGTGCGTCAATTGGTGTGATTTATATTATGTAAAATGAGATGTAAATACCTGTTTCCGTGGCATAACTTTGTGACTGAAAACAGACCGAAATCCGTTATGACGACCTTGCCGTTTTCATAAAAAATGTTTCTTGTCTTTAAATCTTTGTGAACGATCTCTCTGGCGTGAAGATATCCCATCCCCTGAAATAGAAATAAGTAAAAGATATTCAAAATTGTTCATATTATGAGCAAAGCACTGAGAAGAAACAAACAATAATAAATATTACATTAAGATTATTTGTAAAAAAAATGGCTTTATAAGTAATATAAGCACAGAATTTAAACATTATTGTAAAAAACTTAAAAGTTGTGCATTTTATTCAAATAAAGCAAATAAAATTAGATGTTTTAATTCAGAACGCATTTTATCTACAGACAAATTTGATAGATCTTCAATTAATTGAAATATATTAACAAGTATATTAAAAACAATGTAACACATGTATGACATGTCCTTATTTTATTCTTTGCAACCATTCTTGAACCTACAATATTTCATCTTCAAGTGTTACATGAATTACAGAACTGAAACTCCAAATCAAAGGAGTTTAAAAAAAACGATTTGAAACATTTACTGTAGAAATTCTAAATCAGAAGGAGCTGGCCACATTCCTCTCTTCCCAACATCTTACCCTCGTGCCTTAAGTGAAAAATAAGTTAAATGATCATCTTTTCACCTGTTTCTACCAGTTGTGTTATTTTTTGGGTCTGGTCAAGGTTATTATACGTAAGACTAATTAGTTTCTTCTGCACTTGCCCTTCTTTTTCAGGTACTATCATTTACCAGTTGGAAGAGGAAAAGAAGTCATGGATGTATCAAAGAGAAAATTACAGGAATTCTATTACTGTGGGACTGACAGAAAAAGAATGTTAAACTGAAAGTTTGTTATAAATGTTTGTGCAATTGAAAGATTTTGTTGTGGTAAGGTCAGTAAAAATCTAAAATTTTGTTATTACAAGGGTTGTTATAATCTACTGTATAACTTAATTCTTCTTTTGAGTTTTATTCATAATCTGATGTGATGATGATCTTAGTAATAAAAAGTGTACTTCTTACTTTTTGAATTGTTTGAATAACTTTTTAAAAAAGCAACCATAATATGTAATTACAAGACTGATTGTTTTACATTTTGAAATGTTTTATTTTTTGTAATTATAAAAAATGATTGAAAAGTAACAAACAACTGCAAATTATACATAATCTTGTAAAGTTTAATGTAAGTAAACTATACACCAATGGTTCTCAATGTTTCTCACATCATAGATCACTAAAACCCTCACACCATGATAGACTGTAGAGCCCTACGGGTCAGCAGTCACACCAGTTGAGAAATGTGACTGCACAGGACTAAACAAAATAACACATAGAACAAAAATCTGATTTTCTGCATTAACACCTTGTTTTGTCTCCCAGACAATTTGACCACTTGTCATAATATAGTGCCAATTTTTGTGTCCTGTAGGTACATAGAATGCAGGACATTGAAATCAAAATTACTCTTCCACAGTTGCATGTACTTCATTACTTTAAAATATGAAACTGCTAGAATGCCTAAATGACACCAAAACACGAGACAATCCTTGCAGCCTTGATTTCAACTTTCAAAGTGGAAGAGAGGATGGAAGAGATAAAGACAGTGTTTCTCACTGCTACTCTGTGAAAAAATTCCACTGGTCTGCAGAAAAATATTTGACTGTACTGAGGCACAGTTCATTACAAGTGATATTTATATAGTTACTTATTTAAGCACCTAAAAGGGGTTTTTTGGACTAATAAGCAATGTTATATCCTTCAAATCCGACTTTCACCAAAGTTCAAGAATTATTTTAGATGAGTTAAACAAGATAGTTGTTGTAGTTGATTACAAACTGTTAATGTGGTCTCATAGATGGCACCCATTGTATAAAAAATTTTACATAAAATATTACTGGAGAGGATCTGCAAAAACATTCAATCCAACATGCATATAAATTAAATATCTGAAAATTAAAATTGTTTCTGAGTAATTTTTGAACTCCCAGTGAAAATCAAATATGAAAGAAATAACAATTTGTTTATTAGTCCAAAAAACCCCTTTTAGGTGGTTAAATAAGACTGAAAAGTACAACTGATTACATCTGGCTAATATTGCTGATTTTAGCTTATTACTATACATTTAAATACAGTAGAACATTGATTATCCGAAATAATGCGGGACTGGGGTTGTTCAGATAACTGATTTTTTGGCTAACTGATCATTTACGAAAAATATATTAAACACAAAATTGTACTGTATATATTTTGAATCACATTTACAAATTCATACCTTACATATCTTAGATAAAATAGTACATTAATTAAAGTAGGCCTACAGTTTAGGTTGGCAGGGAGAGAAAGCAGTAGCAGAAATTTGAATTTGCCGACTGAAACACTTTCAGTTAACTGATGTTTCGGTTGATCGGTACTCAGATAATCGATGCTCTACTGTAGTAATCTAGAATTATTTCTCATACCTTCTTACATACAGTAACTCAGATAATCATAATAAATAAAATAATTCATAGATTCATATAATAACTGATCCACATAAAATTATCGATAATTTTACCAGTCCATCATGATAAAATTTAGAAACACTGGATGAAGATGCTTGTGATAGAGATGGAAGACCACAGCTTTCCATCTTTTCTCCATCAAGAGGCTTGTTTCTCTCTTGTAAAAATCTCCAACACCATTTTTACAACATTCTGGCAATTTGTGACACACACACACTCCACACCTTAACTGGCTGCTCTAGCATTTTTGGCTCGGATATGCCTTTTGCCTAAAAAGTTGAGATAACGCTGCTGAGTTTCTCTCAAAATCATATCTCTAGGCACGTTGTCATTTTCGGAGCCATTACTCTAGGTCCACAACACACAGATCCAATAGAAACCAGTCAACTAATATATCACATTCAAATATATATTTTTTTCTAAATCACAATTAAATACATTCATAATAATCCACTCTCAAATATTCTAAATCATGTAATAAATTTATTACTCTACACTAATTTCAAAATTATATTTTTAAAAAATTAAATTAAATACCTGTGATATTTGTTGTGCAATAGAAACTGTTTTGTTAAGACTGAGTTTGTCTTTCAAAAGGTGAATTTGTGTATAAAGTGTGTTGCCTTTACATAGACTAAAAAATAAAATTATCAAACAATTAAATTTCATTAATAAAATACATATATTTTACAATATAAATTTCATTATTTAAAAATCCAAATTAAATATTAATTTAATAAAATAGAAATACATATCACAGACAAATGTACAAATTAAGTACAAATATAAAATCTTAGATAGTAAAATCTCAAAAATAAATTAATAGAAATCAATTATGATAAAATCTAACAGTTTAATTCTGTCAATTACAGTATAATCTCATTTTAACAGATCACTAGGGCCGCCAAAAATAATCTGTTTTTCTGAGAATCTGTTATATGACAAACAATGAACTTCCCACTCCTCCAGGTAAATATCCATTATTTAATCAATTTTACAAGCTCTATAACTGCTTTTCTTTTCTGCTAGACTTGTTACATCATCATTCAGAAACAGGACAATCTTTAGAAAATCAAACCTGTAAAATACCAGTAAAATAATAATTGTCATCCGTATTTTATCAATTGTCACAATTTCTGTGCTTCTCAAAACCATGTAAGTTATAAATTTTTACAAATTTTGTAACAGTGCAAAAATTTTATATTAACTTGTATGCATTATTTCCTAAACAGTTACACCACAAAAGATTGAAAAGGGACTCAAAGTCTGAAATGTATAATCTAGGAAATAAAAATGTGATTTTCTAAAGATTGTCCTGTTTCTAATCGATAATGTAATAAGTCTAGCAGAAAAGAAAAGCTGTCATAGAGTTTGTAAAATTGAATACAAGACTAGACAAGAATCCATTATTTAACCCCCAACATAGAAAAAATACATGTACTTGAAATTGTTCAATCTCTTGAGATCTCTATTCTATAAAAACATGTATGTTATAAAATTGTATATTGTACATGTATACAACAAAGTTGATGGAAATTGTACAGTAGAGTTCCAAAAACTAGCCCTAATGTGGACCGAAGGGTGGCCGAGTTTGTGAAAATGCCGGGTTATCGGGAATGAAGTTAAAAAAGAATAAATACAAGTGTTTCCTCAGAAAATACTGTACTGTACTTGTATGTATTGTTTGCTTGAGAATACAACAGAGAATAAACTGCCCAAATACCCTTAAACAAGAGAAAAGTATGTGCTTCATGAAGGCATAGAGCCTTTACTACATGAAAATGAAAATGAATGAATACACAGTGTACAGTAATTTACCTGAAAGACAGACCTCAGAAAAATACTTTATGAGGCATAAAGCTGTCTATAATGAAAATTAACTAAGGGTTTTTCACCCTGCCAGGGTGTGGCCGAGTTATACGGACTACCTGGTTATCAAGTGCTGAGTTTTCGGGACTCTACTGTATAAAGTGTAGGCACAAAAAGAAGAAAATTACATATGCTCATCAGTACATCACTTATCTTCAATTTGTTAAAAAACTTGTCCATCTTGGTTTGTTCTGATGCCATTTTTCTGCCTATTGAATACAACAATCGCTTGAAATTAGCAACATCATGTACAGTACAGCCTGGTCATTTATGCTAATACTTAACAGGAGGGTCTTCACAACTTGGAAAGATTCCATGGCCTTGCTAAATTTTAGCATTATACTTGGACCAGTGTCAGAATGTCCATCAGGTGGCTTCTCCTTAATTGTATTGCCGTGTTGACACTCTTCATACAATTTCTCAATCATACATATCATCTGAGATATAACAAATGCATCGTCGAGCTCTACAAATTCCCAAAAATACCCAACGATGAAAAATCACAAAGTTTACAATGGATGGAACTAGAAAAAATCTGTTATTCCAAGTTATAGATCTGCTAAAATGACATAAAATTACATTGATTTGGCAGGACCCGAGAAAAAATCCATTGTTCTGTGATCTGTTAAAACAAGATTCTACTGTATATTTTTTTTCAACATATAATGCATTTTAACTATTAAGAAATCTATCTATTAAAGTATGAACAGTGTTTTTTCTATAAAATAATTCTGAATATCCTGAAATTATTTCCTTTAAGTGCCCTCATTGTATTTTAAATTATTTAATTATCAGAATATAGTTTTGCTTATAAACTTATTTGTTATATAATTTTATAGATTTGAAAGTATTAAATGAGCTTGCATCTTTGACAAAGACTGTCACAAGCCAAATTATCAGTCTACTCATTATATTTCTTGATGTACAGATACACGACTTTGCTAGAAAAGCTTTACAATAGTTTAAAATATTTTTAAGCAGCAAATTCTATTGAATCTTAGTCCTAATTGTAGTATATTATAATGATAAATTGCTCAATAAATGAAAATAAATGGCCAAAACATGTTATAGATTTACAGAAATGGCCATGGTGAAAAGTTTTGCATCCCAGCTGCTTAATAAAATATGTAATTACCAACAACCAGCATGAATTAGAATTAACTAATCAAAAAAAGAAATGCTTTTCTTCATTTTTAACAGTCATCATGTTCAAATAATAATAGATCTCAAAAAAATGTATTTTTCATAAATAGGTATTAAAAAATTTGACAATTTTAATAAAACTCCAACTCATAAATCAATAATAAACTAAATGTAATCTTTATGTGTGAAATATCTATTTGTGTAAAATTACATTCAGAAGGCTTTCTTTTAATAAAAGTCAGTCTTCTAGAGCTAAACCATATCAAAAATGTTTCAATTCTTAATAAATTCTTCCTAAAGAAACTAATTGAAACCTTATTTTTCATCTTAAAAAAGACCCAATGTAAAATTTATTGGAAGACAAATAGCTTTTAAATAAATTCAACAATTATAAATATTATTCTTAAAAACCTCAATTCAAAAATACAGAATATCCTTCAAAAACTATCAAATCAAATTACCTTGTGACTATTGCTAAGTGAGGCGGATTCATGCAAGCACCCATGAAAAGAACTAAATTCTCATGCCTTGTTTTTCGAAACGTTGCTACCTACAAAATAAATAATTTAAAAGTTATTAATGTATTTAGTTTAAACTTAATAATTATAAATTTAGAATGAAATTTATTTTAATTAATTTACTTAAAAATAATGTAATAGATTTTTACAACAGCATAATGTAAATTTACCTCTTGTTTAAATGTTTCAAGCGTTTTTTTGTCATCTACATGATCCATATTTAGCACCTTGATGGCAACACTGCCATGCCAATTACCTCTTTAAAGAAAAACAATATTTGTAAAAGGAAAAGTAGAAATAATTTAGTTTAGTTTTATCTTTTCTAACAATAAAGCATTTACAGAAATATATATATTTCTGTAAATGCTTTATTATTAGAAAATATTTATATATATTATTTAAGGATTCTCTTAGAATTCTTGTCACATTAACTTTGTAAGAATTAATGCATAACAAAATATTTTTAATCTTATTTTTCTAATAAAATATACTATGCACGTACATCACTGTTTTTAAATCTTTATTGTTTAATTATATATCACATTCCTATTTAATTATATGTCTAAATTCATTATATAGTTTCACTTAAACATTTGTTTCCCTCTGATAAATATAATAATATTCTTTCAGAAAACATAATCAGAATTTCTATGACATATGCTCTGTTCTAATCTTACTCCCTTCTCTTTGCTTTCCCAGAATTAAACGGCGTAAAATAGACTCTGCCAAGCTGTTAATTGCCACAACTTCAGAAAGTGTGTGAACAATAAAAAAGAAGTACTAATTTTTTATAATAAAAAGCAGAAAATAAACTATAAACATTCAATAAAAACTGTAATACAGATAGCTCTCGATTTACGCCGGTTCAATTTATGCCGATTCACAATAACGTCGCTGCGCAATTCGCTGTTTCGAGGTGTAATTCACCGATTTTCCCTATGCTAGACTGATTTTCATTTCAGTGTTGACGTATTTACCGAGCCGCAACATTGTACATATGTTAAAACAAAGATTTTTATTATATATATTTATTTTTTCTGTTAAATATTATTGGGTATGTATACATTTGCATTAAATTAATATTAAAATACTAAGCTTTTAGGTACCCACGAGTCAAGATATTAAACTTAATAAACCAATAAATGGCGTCTGAATCCATAGCACCAATGAATGTATCTCATATCAGTTCATTCAGGAAAACACCTTACGACACAATAGCACTTCCGGCGATCACAAATTATCATTAGTGAGACAAATCTACTTCTCATTGGCCAGACGATATTTATATCTCCTTAGCCACCTTGAATTTTTCTGCTCAAACTGACCTTATATGTGCACTACGCTGACCGGTGGTCGACCAATCAGTGTCTTCGCTCGTCTGTAGCTCTACGTCGGGTTAACGTATCCTTTCAACTAAGGAAAGTTTGACGGATGAAGTTTGTGAGTTAGACAATGTTGGGAGCGAAGTGCAAATGTAAAAATGAGCATCATATTCGACCATATTACGAAATTCTTAATGAAAAAAATCAAAAATGTAAACAATTAAAGATGGATACTTTTTTCCGAAAAATGTAAGAAATTCAAAACTAAAATTTTTAAATAAAAACATTTTACTTTATTTTATGATAAAATATATTTTAAAAATTAAAAATTTATATGTATTTTGTATTATATTGTATTAATAAACAAAATTATTAGCTTATTTTTCACTTATGTAGAACCTAACCCTATACCTCACTATAAATACAGGTTCGTTTTACGCCAATTCGATTTGCGCCGGCTTTTGTAGGAACGGAAATGTGGCATAAACCGAGGGCTACCTGTACTAAGAGTTTGCCTTATAAAACTAAAGCAGAGATTCAATCATCATTACTGACATTCTAGATGACTGAAATAAAGTAGCCAGTAAACCAAAACTTCCAGATAATAACTTAGCATATTGATACAGTAGAGTCTCGAAAACTCGGCACTCGATAACCTGGCAGTCCAGATAACTCGGCCACACNTAAAGTAATTTTCTGAGGTCTGTCTTATCAGGTAAATTACTGTACACAGTGTATTCATTAATTTTCATTTTCATGTAGTAAAGGCTCTATGCCTTCATAAAGGACGTACAGTAGAGCATCGATTATCCGACCCCCAATTAACCATCACCTCAGTTAACCAACCACGTTCTAGTCGGCAAATTCAAATGTCCGCTAGTGATGTGGCGCTACAATATTTGGCTGTCTTGGCTACTTTAATATTATTTTTAGGGGTTTTAGCTGGCAGCACTAGATTGACCATGAAAAGGAACCAGTATTTAAACGAGGCTTAATTTTCTAATTTTTAACGATACAATAGCGACGATTATTATTTCTAAAAAAAAATTTGATGGGTTTAACTTGGAGGAAAATTCAACGCAAAGTAGGTTAATAGCGATATACTAATATACTAATTACATGGGATATAATAATATACTACACTAATAATGGATTTTTTCATACTTTTCGGTTATTCAACTTTTCAATTATCCGACCAACCCCAGTACCCATTGAGTCGAATAATCGATGCTCTACTGTACTTTTCCTTTGTTTAAAGGTATTTGGGCAGTTTATTCTCTGTTGTATTCTCAAGTAAACAATACATACAAGTACAGTACAGTATTTTCTGAGGAAACACTCATACTTATTTTTTTTAACCCCATTCCCAATAACCTGGCATTTTCACAAACTCAGCCAACCTTCGGTCCACATTAGGGCGAGTTTTCGAGAGACTACTGTATTTTGAAGTATTATTATTAACCTGATTATTTTCAAGTTTCTTTCCCACAGACCAATGAAAGGATTGCATGAAAATTGGTTTATCGTACTCCAAGCATGTATAACTTTTTGAATTATGTCTATAGTATATGGACATACAGAAACCATTGTGAAAATTGACTTTATGCAATAACATATTCTTTAACATTTTTGTGGGATTTTTCAATCTAACTTAATACAGTATAGTCACTGCATCATCTTCAAACCAATTAACAGGCATGAGTAAACAAATTGAAAGCACATGGCACCGTATAAGTTGTATAAAATCTGTAATGTTTAAATCACATATAACAAATAAAATTTTGTAAAAATACAATAACACCCAGCAATCCAGTATTTTCAATAATCTGGCATCACTCTGCTCCTTTAGGTGTGGTACCTAAAGGAGCAGAGTTCTGCATTACAAATACTGCATTAGTTCTGCTATTTTGAAGTATATCTTGACTAAAATTTTGATTATACTTAAAATAAATTCTAACAATTTTAAATAGAAATAAAATAGGCTATGTTAATTGCAAGAAACATAAATTTAATTTTTGATGAGATTATTTCAGTTTCTTGTTTATGGAAGAGCTACTGCAATAAAAATTGTTTTTACAAAGAATTAAATACACATCAAAAATTTTGTTTTTCTGAAAGAATAACTTCAAGTTTGTAAAAATAAGTCTTAAACTTGCCAAATAAGCAGTCCCTTAAATCTTAAGGAATAAAATATACAGAAAAAATAATAGATTTATGCTCAATAATAATACTTGTAAACGGTTCCAAATCTTCCTGTTCCCAATCTGTCAATAATTTCTAATTCATCGTAAGGAATATCCCATTCTCTTAATGACAGCTGAAAATAAAACATTACATAAGTAATATTTTCATTATTATAATATATTGGGTGCAGAATATATCAAGTCATGCAAACAAGATTGGAAGAAAATTAAAGTGGTCCCACAAAAATTTTTGATAGAAAAATATTATGGCAATAGCCACAAAATGTTACTATAAAATGGAGTAGCATCTTGATTAAGTCTATAACCATTAATTGTGGTAATTCACAAATATGGGAATCCCATTCTTATTATATTTGTCAATTTGGACATAAATTATTAATAGGACTGTTAAACTGGTTAAGTTTAACAGTCCTATTAATTGTATTTCTTAAAAATGATAGCCATTGTAACCCTGCTGAGGAGGGGTGCGATAGCTCAAAACACAGTCGTAAACAAAAGTATGTGTACAGGAGGCTCAATAAAGAAAGTGTTTTCTTTAAGAACTTTTGCTCAATTTTGCATTAATACTTAACACCAGTTTAACAGTATTATTAATAATTTATGTCCAAGTTGACAAATACAACAAGAATTGAAATAAAGACAATAAGGCAATAATAATTATGGGAATCCCATGTTTAAAACTAAATTTTGAAAGTTATTTATTTTGTTTCCAATCAATTTGGTCACTTGTTACATCACTGCCCACTTAAATGATTATACACTTGTAGTAGAAATAAGTCTATCTTGCTTATCACACCATGGTTTTGATTTTTATAAAAAACCAAAACCAGAATGGTGCTTTAAAAAGAACCAAAACATTAAATCCATTTGTATTTCAAATCTCTTTCCAATGCTATTTAAAGGGTAAAATTTCCTGTCGCCTTAAATTTGAAAGAAATATTCACTTGTTCTCAATAAAGAAAATTAATTAACTGTATTTAAAAACATTTTCAAACTGTCTCAATTAAATTTCTTTTTAAAAAATTTGGAAAGTCATTAATAATTTGAGACAATATTTTATCACTTTCATTCATCTTCAATGTCCTGAGTACCAAGTAGTAGTACACTGCACTTCATATACATCACACTGGGGAAGTAAATAGATTTCCTTGCACATTTCATATGTATTCCAAAAAAAATTATCATCAAAAAGGAAATTGAAATTGTGTGTTTTGTTTTCACTTGTCTTATTTTATTTCTTAATCATATAAAAAAGTTTTGAATAAGCTTGAATATGATTTATATGATTCTTAAACACTATGTAGTGTAATAAATTCACTTTTCAAGCATTTCAAACACTTGGCGTTCTATCGTCTTTATTTAGTTTGGTTGATACGTGTTTAAAATACATGTTTCGGGTGTAATATGCCCCTCTTCAGCCAGCTAAAATTATATCAAAAAATACATATAGTATGTAAAAGGATAAAAAACATACAAGTGGTAAAGATATTTTAGAACATATCTCAGAATTTTTTATAAACTGGGTATCATAGATGAATACAGTACATATTTATACAGCTTACACATTTACTGTCTATCTTCATTGTTTCCTTTTGGGTGTATTTTTTAATATAATTTTAGTTGGCTGAAGAGAGGCATGTTACACCCGAAACATGTATTTTAAACACGTATCAACCAAACTAAATAAAGACGATAGAATGCCAACTGTTTGAAATGTTTAAAAAGTGAATTTATTATACTACATAGTGTTTAAGAATCAAAAAAGAGTCACAACACGGTTTCAGATTATCAAAGCTTTTTATATTCTGAAACATATATTCCTATCAAATACATAAGTTTACAATTGCAATAAAAATTTACATTTTATGACAGAATAAATTTTGTGGCAAATTTTCACAGATTTCACAACTAAATGAAAAGCACAATAGGGTTTGTGAATTTATTTATAATAAATTTCCGGCAAACCTCTCCATTTTTGACGATCGCCAGATTAGTAGAGATTTCTAGGAGTAAAATTAAAGTTACAAAAATAAAATCTTTGTGTAAGTTACCAAAATAAACTGATTCTGTTGAAAAAAATAAAAATAACTGATTAATCAACATACAAACATACCAAACAATTAGTTCTAATTCCCACAGTTTGTGAACTAAGGCACGATGGGTTGTAACTTGGCAGATGTTTAGCATTGCTAAACATTCAACACATCAAAGTTTAGCATTGGTTAAACTCTGTACGACATGTACTGTACACAGTTATCGAAATCAAAGAAACTTTAATCAAACTGGAATATAAGTCAAGGCTTGAATTTAGCTCCGGAGTGAGTTTTGCCCCCTTTAAGACTGGGAAAAATATCAACTAATATTCGGGCAGATACAACCATTAATTTGTTTGTAAAATTTTGTTTAATTTTGCATGCTAGTGTGCAATAATTTTTGGGAAAATTTGGGTCTTGAAAATATTCTACACTCCTGCATTATATGTCTTTTATATTATATATATTATATTATATTTATGCTTTATTTAAGTGTATAATTTAAATTAAATCAAATGAAAAGAGTAATTTTTTTGTATTCAAATAAAAATAATTTAAATTTTGAATTAATTTCAGAAAATATACTGTATAATTACATTATTGAATATTGTAAACATGATGAAATTGTTTTCAAAAATGTGAAGTGCAGTGTACAAAATGATACTCTCTATGGAACTCAAATGTGTTCTCAATAACACTATATTCTTAGTGTAAGAAAATACATATGCAGCAATTCATGCAAAAGTCTCTATACATAGAGAATTGTATTTTCCTTTTATTGCAGATGATATACCTCAGAATCACCATACCTCTGCCCACTTGATTTTTACTCGTGGAGGTACCGAAAACCATAGTATACAAGATAAAAATACAAAACAAGGATTTTCCAAAGGAATGCATACAAGATGCACATGCCTGATGAATTAATAAATGGGAAAGATGCTTTTTCATACAATATTATTGTAATAGAATAAAGATATCATTTTACTATCATAGGGACTTCAATCACCAATTATTTTTATGTATATGTTACTGCTAAAGCTTAAAAGCCATTAATGTGTACATTACCTAGCTAATTTGCAGATTAATTAGGGTGATCCGTTAAATTTGCGAAAATTGTTTCATTTCTCGAATTACGTAGGTAATGTTCAATTTCTCGAATTACGTAGGTAATGAATTGTGTAGGTAATGTGCAGAGTATCTAGGTAATCTGCACATTACCTACTAGGCACTCGGTAAAGTGAAAATAAGATCTTTGCTGGAACAATAGCAACATTTCTGTACACTTAAATTAACATAATGTTATTTATTTAATTTTCGATATCTAAAGAATCGAGTTAATACAATCAAACAATCAACAAATTAGTTAATAGAATCAATCATCAATCAAGTAAAAACCTGTAATACAAAAAATCAAACAGTTTAAAATATTATTACAATTAGGGAAATGGGGGATTATATAAATTACCACCTATGAAATTTTGGAACTTTGAGTATATATCTGAACTGAGGGGACCGAGACGAGTTCAACGATACCCTACTTTTGGACCAGAGACGAAAAGTAAAAAAGTTATCATACTTTTGCCGACGATCGCATGATAAAATTGTGCATTAATGTTACTTTTGGTGACTAAAATGGCGGCTCATCTCTGATTCCAGCAAACCGAAGAAAGGAAACAGTGGGGACGCACGTTCTAACCTAACCTAACCTTTATCTAATAAATTACCATAATTATTACCAACCAAATTATTAGAATAGGTTAGATTAGGTTAGAACGTACGTCCCCACTGTTTTCTTTCTTTGGTTTGCTGGAATTGGAGATGAGCCGCCATTTTAGTCACCATAGGTAACATTAACCAATTGTGCTTACTTATTAGTGCAGTCTAAAGATTGGTGACTGAATTACATAGCAATTGGTTTTTGTAATAAGCACACCTATTTGTGCCACATTTATTTGTGGCAAAAATCTTATTTTCACTTTACCGAGTGCCTAGTAGGTAATGTGCAGATTACCTAGATACTCTGCACATTACCTAGTAATTTGAGAAATGGAACAATTTTCGCAACTTTAATGAATCACCCTAGTTAATCTGCAAATTAGTTAGATAATTTACACGTTAACGGCTTTCGAGCTTTAGTGGTAACATATATATCTCATTGCTAGATGGTCTTTCTTCAAATCAAAAATTTATAATTAAACATTTTGATAAAATCTCTTTTAAAGCATCACATATTTAAAATAAAACAGTTTAAACTTTTTAATTTATAAATTATAATAATCAAAAGTATACTTACACTATTCTGCCTGGGCCAAGACCGCTCGCTGGCATCTACGTCAGAGACTTGGCTATCTTGCGAGTCAACACGTCCAGCCAGTGTCTTTTCGGAATCAGTCTAAGAACCAAAATCCATACAAATCAGTCAACATAATACTTAAATATTATAATTTCAGAACTGATTCTACAATACTTTAGTTAAGATATTAATAGCAGAGACTTGTTATTAACTCATTTTAGTAAAATTGAATAGTAGAAACTCCATTCAAATCCAAATTAACAGATATCTGCATTAAATTTTTTGAGATTAAAGTTATCTGCTAAAGAGAGTGAATTAAAATAGAATTTTCAATAAGAATTATAGAACTAACTGCTTGATTTTGAGTGAAACGAGCCAAAAGTAGTTTAATACATCATCTCATTATCCAAGTTTCTTTGCATTTAAATTGATTTAAAATTACATAGCATTTGAAAACAAAACTTGAATTCAAAAACAATTATAGAGGTGAGTACTTGATTACTTGCTGTTCTCCCAATTAGTTGTATGTTCTTTGGAACTTATGCTAAGTTTCAAAGAACATGCAATTATATAAGACTTTTCTAAGTTTATATCAGGTATTTATTTAGTTACAATCACTCAAAATGACACAATGGAAATACACAAAGTGGCAATATTGAAAATAAAGTTTTATATTAAAGTCACAAAATAATAAAATGGTTACTACATTCAACTTCCATACCAGAGTGGATGTATATAAATGATAATTACACACCAGTAAATTTTCAATCACCAGTAAAGAACTTTAATACTTAAATTTTAGACAATTTGTCTAAAAATTAATTATATTATAGTTCTTTACTAGTGATTTAAAGTTTTTAAAATATATAATTATCATAATAATATGATATAGTAACAGAATATATGGCAAATTCTTTGCAGAACTTGTATATTTACAGCAGATCTAGTTTACAGCCATTTCAAAAAGAGATAGAAAAACCAAAACATTTTGAATTTGCATTTATTTTTCTTATTTGTATAACTGATTTTATTAGTAAGTATTATAAATACTATAATAAATAACACAAAATTTTTAATTATATGCCATTTAAATAATCCTGTAAGTTGTAGAAAACTAAAACTATTTGGCCCATTTGTATCTTCAGGATATTTTATTTAAAATGTTTTATTTAAAAACTTAGATAGAAGGTTTGTACAATATTTTCCAACAATATTGTATCTGATTTTCTACAGAATTATGCATACTGTCAAGAACTCTACAAAAATTATTAAAATTTTTACAAGCCAAACCAATAGGCAATGTTTTTGTTATGGAATTTCTTTTCCGGGAATCCATCAGTAAAATTACGACCTTATTTTTGCACTGTCAAGGATCTCATTACAAAATATAGATGAATCCATATATCAACAGCAAGTTTTGAAGCTTGTGAACATTCTATGTTATGTTCCTCCTTTCAATTTATCAGCAACACATGTTTACAAAAACGTGGAGTCTAATGGGCAGTCTTCTCTCAGAAACTTACGTGAGATGATTGTGCACAGTTTAAAACAACAAATTTTGCCAATATTTCTGCCTAAAAGTGTATTCCAAACATTATAGAATAAAAAAGATACATGGCAACCTGCTGATACAGAAAACGCAACCAAATATAGAGATCTTTTTAACACTTATAAACAATAATCCCTTCACACAATATCTTGAGCTAGAACACTCAAGCAATTTTGGGGGCATTTCTTAGAGTCAACTTCTGGCTTATTGGTGATGAATGAATAAAAACAAGCATCTTCTACAAACAAACTCATATACCACTCTTTATTCCAGCAAGCTCTGGTGATCCATTCTATTAAAAAATAGCTTCATTTAGGGTGCTTACAAAAAGATCATTTACACACTGTTCATGTTTGGAATACACTTTAAAAGAGTTAAAAAAGGTTAAAGTCAGTAGCAGTATTGCATTGTTATCAAAAAACTCTTGTTAAATCTTTCTTCAACCCACAACCACACCTTATCAAAACTATTACCCAAATGGTATCCAGCAATACAAACACACAAGTTTACAATCCATTACACAATTGTTGAATATAATTGTACATTGTACAGCTTATACATAAAAATAGCAAGCATCATGGGGCTAAATTAGCCTATGAACACATCCCTTGTATATAATACAAGGTATTACATAATGGAAAAGATGAGACTGATGAACATGAGACACCAGAAATGTATAGAATTCCAGTGAGGGACAAAAGATTCAAAAAAAGACCTAAATAAATTTCCTCAACTAAACACTATAAATAAGAGGCTACAAGAACATCAGTATGATACAGATCATGGAAAACGCAGCACAACCCTGTCTGTTTACGCCTCAAAAAATGACACACGTGTAGATCTCATAAATGTGGCTATAATCAAATGACCAATATGCCAACCACCTCAAAACTTTGCAAGCATTGGAAATTCACAAATCCAAAATTAAAAGACTTGCATAAACTTCAGGACGAGAAAAGTGTGTCATAGGTCTAGAAGTGCTTTTACAATAAACTGGAGTAATCTGTTATAGTTTAATATTTTATTTTGCAATTATGTAATAAGCATTTTTTGAAATACAGGTCTCCCCTATATACAAACAGATTAGGTTCCCAAGGTTTTGTCCTACATCAAAATATTCATAAGTCAAAAACTAATCTAAAAAGTACATTTGTACACAAAATAAACACATATTATTAGTGTTTGAGACTTCAATGTACTTAATACAACATATTACATTCATTTACATGCTTGCTACTACTTATTAACAGGTATTTCAAATGCATTTTTCTATCTAATGCACTTAGTTTTATAATGTCAAGTTTTGTTTCCACAGTAATAGAGCAACAATTCTTGCATTTATCTCAATTAGTAGATTTACTATTACCTTTCAGACACATTTCTGAAGCACTAATCGTAAAAGTTCATAAAATTAACAATAACAATAAACACTGTTACTCCAACATTACCAACTTTGACACAACCTCACAAATGGTGATGGAACATCAATTTGCATGAAAACAAAAAATGACAATATACAACAGAAATAAATCCACGTTAATTATTTATTAAAAATTTATTATTTATTACCGGCCAGACTGACTTCGACACCTCCCACAAACATCAAGAGAACTTCAGAATCTGCATGAAATTTAAATTTTAGACATATGGTCAAACTGTTCCTAAATCTGAAAGTTTGTAAGTAGAATGTTCACAAGTAGTAGAACTCCTGTATTTGCAGTTTTTTCATTTTAATTTTTTGCATATATTGATTAATACAAAAATTTATTAATGTATATCTGATGGTCAATCAGATATTTGTTTTATATTAAAAATTTATTAACATATTTATCAGCTTTTCTTTACACTTTACTGTAAAGCTTATAAAATTTAAAAAAAATTTTTTTACATATCTTGTTCTTCTACGCATTTCAAGTTTAGAACACTATTTGTGCTGATGTAGATCTGATTGGGAACAAAAATGTATGTCAGTATATATACTTTTGTTATAATAAATATCTTACTGAATTTATAAAGGTATCTGTGGTGTTCTAGTAACATTTTTCTTTGTGGGCATGTTGAGAACCATGCCTTGGCTACAAAAGTGCCAGACACAAAAGCCCCACATACGAGAATCATGGATGTCATTAACTGAATGACTCCTAATATGCCAAATTGGACGTGAGCTAAAAGCAATCATATGCCATACAAACTACGTTGAGAGCATATGTGGAAATGTACTGATTTAATATTATAACTGAGTTTTTCAGACACACTTTCTATTACCATTGTCTACAATACTAAACTTACTTCTCTTTTCCCAAAATTAATCCACATAATAAGGATGTTGGAGGGGAACACCCTGTATAATGATATTTTTTGATGAATGATGAATTTGTAATAATATTTTATCATAAAACTGCCTTATGTTTTATCTGTTAAATATACATATAAATTTAACAGAGAACAAAATGAAACAGATAATTGGTAAATACTATTCAATTATTTTCGTAATAAGTAAATTTTTAACTTACGCTTCCAGAAGTACCAGAAACGGTTTTATCACTATCATTGGACTTCTGCGTCTCTATCATTTCGCTATCGATGAAAGGCTTCGTTTCTAAAGTTACGTCTTTATTTAAATCAGAGACATCTGTAAATATGTAAGATAAATTACTTTTCAGTTTTGTATAACTACAATTTCTTTACATTAAAAATAATTTTAATGTTAAAACTTCAGAAATAATTTACATTTTAACATCTAGACATAGGTTTCTTAAACTTTTTTCATTTGTGGCTCCTCTTTTACCTGAGAAAAATTTATGCAACTCTCTGGTATACAAGTATATAAAATAGCATACAAATAAAATCATTTACTGATAAGAAATCATAAAACAATTTATTCCAAACTAAACTAATTGTTTGATGTACATATTATTTTACCATTCATTAAAGACAAAATCAAATTTGCATACTAATGAGATGGATGCGCTTGTTTAGTTTTATATAATGAATTAAATCTTACTTGAATATCTTATACCGCAGGCCACGTGATATCTCTGTCATTTTTGACATTTAAATCAAGTGACTTCATAATTGTAATGACAAAAATGCCACTTTATATAAATACATAGTACAAAATTTTACTGTTGAAAAATTTTAGTGACCTACACATTAGCAATCCCCTCTGGGGTTGTGACCCACAGTTTACAAAACTCTGCTCTATTATTAAACTATTAGCTGCACAACAAATGAGATATTCTATGTATGAATGCAGATAAATACTTTCATTTAAATAAATAATCTGTTGCTGAGAACCATTCTGTAAGAAAACATTAACCCAGAGCCTACTTCTCCTTATTTTAAATAAAAAACTATAATGTCTTATGACATCAAATAAACTCTCAATTTCCGAAAATGTCCTAAAGCACATTACATACAAGTAACAAACTTTCATATTAGAACACAAAATGCTTAAAACATCATTTTCTAATCACATAACAGTTAATATGTTTGTTAACTGATGGATGCTTTATATTTAGTAATACATGCCATACTGCACTATAAGGCATGATAGATAAGACACATCAGTAAAGAGATTTGCTTTTAAAACATCAAACAAAAGGTGCTCAATAAAAAACAAGGATAACTGTTAAAATTGTTTTCGACACTTCCATAAATTGAAAAATTAATGTATCACAAAGGTGTCTTTAGGCTTTCTGCAATAAGATGTTTTAGTACAAGATGATGCTACGATACCTCTTTGGGAGATTCTAACACAATTCTAACATTCTAATCAATCGCATTGTATTTGGAACATAACTGAGACTCTTCCTGCATACTTTTTCTTAAAGATACTCTAATAAACTTTTCAGACATAAAAACAAATTTTTCTTATACAGTCAAAGTCCATTAACATAAAGTTGAAGAGATTTTGTATTAATTAATGAGGATTGTATTAAGCAAACTTTACAAAATAATCATAGCCTCAAATGACAAAAGCCAAATTTTCCAGTTATTTCACTATCTTTTATCTTGTTTGGATGTGTTTAAAAATAATGAAACAAATAAACTTGCATTATTCCAAACATACACTTTATCAAGTCATGGTGGTTTAAAAAAGAATTGATGCTCATTCTTTGATAATGGTTAGATTTGGTAAAACGACAATTAAAGCTATTAAATATAAGAATCTAAGGTAGCCACCAATTTGAATCTGGGAGCCAAATATGTGTAAACCTTTACAATTTAAAAAATAACTTATTTACTTGGATTTAAATGGAAACAATTGGTTTTAATTTCAAAATTATGCACTAATTACAGTGTTTAATATTGTAATTTGGGTTTTTCACTATTTTCATTATTAAATGCTTAATTATAAAAAATATTTCATAAAACTACATATTTTTAATCAAAAGTTTTCCAATCAACATCAGTCAATACTAGATTATCATTGGCTGGTTTAATGCAGCTACACACAACAATAGTCACACACAACCCTTACAAAACTTAGATCCATAAGCATGTAAATTTTCATATATAATTATAAATTTTTATAGTTTAACAGTACAAAATAATTTAAAACAAGCACAAACACTAACAAACTTATATAGCAAGATGGACTTAAAAGAAAGACATAAAGAAGCAAGCGGCATTTTACCTGGAAAGTGAAACTGGTGAATTCTAGAATAAGATGACTGCATCTGCTGAGCGGAAGTAATGATAACGGCGGGAGACGAAGGCGTCGAAGAATTGCAGGAAGAAGTGTTAGACGAAGAATCTGGCGGAGGAAACGGAGGAATGTTGATGATCGGCTGCTGCCGGGACTTCTTTCGTTCTCGCCCACTCTCGCTCCGCAGGATGTTGGGACTGGTGACAGATGGAGTGTGAGACATGATGGGAGAATGGCTTCCTGCAGAGGCCGTTTGAGATTTAATTTTGTGAGCCGTTTAACAAATAAAGCATATATAGTTTATGTAAGAGAGATAAAACATATAAAGCATCAAAAGGAATAGTAAGTAACAAAAGAATTTGCAAAGCATTTAGAATAAGTTTAAGAATAAAATTTTTTTAATTGGTATCTAAACAAATAACTTAGAAATAATTAATAATTAAATTCAGAATTGACACTTATAGTATAATTTGCCAAAAACAAATTTGACTTCAGAACTTTTTCACTGCTTACATAAAATGTGACAAGTACTAGGACATCATGCAACTTTGTCATATCGCAACAGAATTAAGTGGAGCCACAAGGAAAGAAGTGATCCCTGCACCTGTTAGGCACAGAAGAGGCAATTCTTATACAGTACCTGAAGAACGCGGACAAGTGAACTCTGTATTTACCACCACAAAAGAGGCTATCCTGATACCTGCAGGTTACAGGAAACACAATCCTTGCACTGTCCAGGTACAAAGAGGCAATCCAAGAACAAAGCAATTGATGGCAACTGCTTTGTTCTTGTGTTTTGTTCATTTTTCATGCCTATTTTCCATTATGTGCATGTAATACTGTTTTTATTTTTGACCCCTATGCTTAAATTCTGTTAGCTGCACTCTTCACATCAGAGAGCAGAGACAATGTCACTGTAATACGTTTATATATCAAAAACAAAGTCATGGACTCCTATTTTTACTTTCCAAATACAGCAATTGGTTAAAAAATACCACCCCAAGATTTTTACATTTTTGGACTTGGAGACCTTGGAAAGTTGAGAAATGCAAAAACATTGAGTTTTTATCTGTACGTAAGGATGTTAAAGTGTGCATGTATGTTTGTATGTAGCACGATTTTGTTTACCCTCTTTGAAGCTTAATAACTCCTGTGCTTTTTGTCAAAAATTTCTGAAATTTTGCAGGAAGGTTTGTGTATTAGAAAGATATGTAATATTAAATTTTGTTGGTTTAATTAAGATCAACGAGTGGCAAGATAAAGCAGGTTGAGTGTACAGTAGAGCATCGATTATCCGAATATCGATTAACTAAAACATCAGTTAATCGAAAGTGTTCCAGTTGGCAAATTTAAATTACCACTAGTGCTGTGGCGCTGCAATATTCGGCTATGTCTTGGGCTACTCCAATATTATTTTTGTTGGTGTGCATGTTTTAGCTGCAGCACTGGCACTATCATAAGAGGGTATTTTTAACATGGGATAGGTTAATAAAGTTTTTCATACATAATCGGTTATCCGAAAAATTGATTATCTGAACAACCCAGTCTTGAATTGTTTCAGATAATTGATGCTCTACTGTATTTTTAGTAGAGTCAGACTTAATGACAATTTTACACGTTATTAGCATTTACAATTTTTTATAAAACCAATCCTTACACTCAAGATTAAGCTTTTTGCCTTTTTATAATAATTAAAAATGTAAACAGTTTTTTTAAATGAAGTATCATAACAGATAACACCACTAGAATTTTAAATGTTGCCAGGAAAGTTAGCAATTTGTTGCTGGATTTTTTTTTACATTTAAATGGATTCATATTACATTTCTGCATTCCTCATCACAATTAATAAAAAGTGACAAAGTTTTATCATTAAATTTTGAGAACTAACTCAATTCTATAAGTTCATACAAGAAGTGCTAGCAACTGTGAAATATCGCACAACAAAGTTGTGTGATTCCTGCAATATCACTTTGTTGTGCATGCTTGTGAAACAACCTTATATCTCAAAAACAAAGTCATGGATACCATTTTAAATTGTATTTTTAATACCAGTTTGCAATTAATGAAAAATGGCAAAGTTTTATAAAAATCTATCAAACAAATTTTGAGAACAAACACAATTCTGTAAGTCTCAGTGAAGACACTTCACTAACACTCCGCTTCAAATATAACTGTATGGTGATCAAGTGATTTCATTTAAGAATTGTTTCATGTGAATTAAACTTTTATGCATTGTCTGTAGATGGAGATTGGCATGAAAACAGGCATTATTCTCCCATATCTATAATTACAATAAAACAAAAAAGATCTGATGGACAAAAGTGTTAATGTGTTGTTTCAAGTTTGCACGAATTCAAATTCCATATTAGGAATGGACATTTGCATTTGTCAGATTTTAGTAAAAGTTGTTGTTTTTGGAAGTGCTTTAAAAGCACTAAAGAATGATGTTGCAAATGATATTATTAAGAAAAAAATAAAAATGAACATTCATCAGACCATATAATTCTCATATCTATTCACTAATAATAATGTTATTGTAAAAAGTTTCATCAAAAAATACAGTTTGATTGTTTCACAATGTTACTATTCGTTATTATTTTTACATTACCATCTCATGTTGAAGTGGTAGATTAAAGTATAAACTGACAAAATCTGAAGATAGATTTAACTGTCAAAAGGTACAGTAAACTATTTAAAATTACAAAGTAACTTGTAAAGAAATTTATTAAATTATCAAAAATTAAAGATCTTATATTATTATTGTATATCAACCACACATTACTGAAAGACTTTGTTTATTACACTGAACAAACATTTTCAACTCACTCAAGGGGACATCCTCGGTTATTGATGTTACATGAACTTTTACAATCATTCTTTAACAACTGTTCTTATCAAAACTCAAGGATTTTAAATTCAAAGTGTTTCGAACATCATGGTAAATTCAAAATATAGAAAATAGAAACCAATTAATTAGTCCATTACATATTGAAATTGAACTAATTAAACTAAATATAATAAATACAAATATAAGTATAATAATACAAGATTATACATCAATGGCATTAAATTATGAGTTATTTTTGATTATATACTTCTTATATTATTACTTGTATTATATTATATTATTACAGTAATGATACAATGAATTAACACGATAGTGCGTGTCAATTTTTAATACATCAAAATTTGATATCTGACCATCTACCTATCATCGTCTTTACCCCCGAAAAAGACCTTGATACGAGGATAAAGAACAAAGAACTCTACCGTAGAATAAATAATTCCTCAATTTGCCGTTTACGTTACGCTTTGTCGTCTTGTTTCTCTTGGAATTATTACTATACCTCAAGTTTGACAACTGATCAATTAGCTGACTATTTATACACCATTTTACTCGTTTTTATTGATAAATATCTTCCGACTAAAGAATATGTGAAAAAAAATAAAACTAGCAGGAAAGACTTCTTAAAGAATTTTATATCTGAACATACGCTCGCATTAATTAAACAGAAGAAAACTTTACTTAAAATAGTCAAAAATAAAAATTGGACTACTTTCGAAGAACGAAACAAACATTTAGAAGATATACATACCTTGAATAAACAAATTAGAAAAAATATNAAAAAAAAAAAAAAAAAAAAAAAAAAAAAAAAAAAAAAAAAAAAAAAAAAAAAAAAAAAAAAAAAAAAAAAAAAAAAAAAAAAAAAAAAAAAAAAAAAAAAAAAAAAAAAAAAAAAAAAAAAAAAAAAAAAAAAAAAAAAAAAAAAAAAAAAAAAAAAAAAAAAAAAAAAAAAAAAAAAAAAAAAAAAAAAAAAAAAAAAAAAAAAAAAAAAAAAAAAAAAAAAAAAAAAAAAAAAAAAAAAAAAAAAAAAAAAAAAAAAAAAAAAAAAAAAAAAAAAAAAAAAAAAAAAAAAAAAAAAAAAAAAAAAAAAAAAAAAAAAAAAAAAAAAAAAAAAAAAAAAAAAAAAAAAAAAAAAAAAAAAAAAAAAAAAAAAAAAAAAAAAAAAAAAAAAAAAAAAAAAAAAAAAAAAAAAAAAAAAAAAAAAAAAAAAAAAAAAAAAAAAAAAAAAAAAAAAAAAAAAAAAAAAAAAAAAAAAAAAAAAAAAAAAAAAAAAAAAAAAAAAAAAAAAAAAAAAAAAAAAAAAAAAAAAAAAAAAAAAAAAAAAAAAAAAAAAAAAAAAAAAAAAAAAAAAAAAAAAAAAAAAAAAAAAAAAAAAAAAAAAAAAAAAAAAAAAAAAAAAAAAAAAAAAAAAAAAAAAAAAAAAAAAAAAAAAAAAAAAAAAAAAAAAAAAAAAAAAAAAAAAAAAAAAAAAAAAAAAAAAAAAAAAAAAAAAAAAAAAAAAAAAAAAAAAAAAAAAAAAAAAAAAAAAAAAAAAAAAAAAAAAAAAAAAAAAAAAAAAAAAAAAAAAAAAAAAAAAAAAAAAAAAAAAAAAAAAAAAAAAAAAAAAAAAAAAAAAAAAAAAAAAAAAAAAAAAAAAAAAAAAAAAAAAAAAAAAAAAAAAAAAAAAAAAAAAAAAAAAAAAAAAAAAAAAAAAAAAAAAAAAAAAAAAAAAAAAAAAAAAAAAAAAAAAAAAAAAAAAAAAAAAAAAAAAAAAAAAAAAAAAAAAAAAAAAAAAAAAAAAAAAAAAAAAAAAAAAAAAAAAAAAAAAAAAAAAAAAAAAAAAAAAAAAAAAAAAAAAAAAAAAAAAAAAAAAAAAAAAAAAAAAAAAAAAAAAAAAAAAAAAAAAAAAAAAAAAAAAAAAAAAAAAAAAAAAAAAAAAAAAAAAAAAAAAAAAAAAAAAAAAAAAAAAAAAAAAAAAAAAAAAAAAAAAAAAAAAAAAAAAAAAAAAAAAAAAAAAAAAAAAAAAAAAAAAAAAAAAAAAAAAAAAAAAAAAAAAAAAAAAAAAAAAAAAAAAAAAAAAAAAAAAAAAAAAAAAAAAAAAAAAAAAAAAAAAAAAAAAAAAAAAAAAAAAAAAAAAAAAAAAAAAAAAAAAAAAAAAAAAAAAAAAAAAAAAAAAAAAAAAAAAAAAAAAAAAAAAAAAAAAAAAAAAAAAAAAAAAAAAAAAAAAAAAAAAAAAAAAAAAAAAAAAAAAAAAAAAAAAAAAAAAAAAAAAAAAAAAAAAAAAAAAAAAAAAAAAAAAAAAAAAAAAAAAAAAAAAAAAAAAAAAAAAAAAAAAAAAAAAAAAAAAAAAAAAAAAAAAAAAAAAAAAAAAAAAAAAAAAAAAAAAAAAAAAAAAAAAAAAAAAAAAAAAAAAAAAAAAAAAAAAAAAAAAAAAAAAAAAAAAAAAAAAAAAAAAAAAAAAAAAAAAAAAAAAAAAAAAAAAAAAAATTTAAAAAAAAAAAAAAAAAAAAAAAAAAAAAAAAAAAAAAAAAAAACACAAATTTTTTGAATTCTGATACTTATGGTACAGTGTATTAACTACATGAGGTTACTAAATTTAACTCGTTTTTCTTTGACTTGTTATATGATAAATAAATAACTATATGCAAAAATCTGGAAAAAATCAAGTTTTAAGTATTATATTATCTTCATCTGTTCTACAAAATATTAAGTTATCTGAATATGAAATCAAAGCATAGTAGAGCGTCGTTTATCCGAATCAATTGGGGACTGTGGTTGTTCGGATAACTTATTTTTCAGATAATGGATTATGTACGAAAAAATATATTAATCTATCCCGTGTTGAAATTTTTCTCTGTTGCGTGTCGCTTTGCATTGAATTTTCGTCTATGTTAAGCCTTACAAAAATTTTTATAATAATAATCATGGCTATTGTATTGTTAAAAATTATTTCTTTATTTTGTGCATACAAAATAAATATATTGAAAAATATAAAAACAACAAAAAGAAAAAAATAAAATACTTTAGAAGTTGATCTAGTATCAAAAACGTTCGCTTCAGCACGACACACAGTCCTCAGAAAAACACTACACAAAAGTGCCAGTACTGCCAGCTAAAACACACACACCAATAAAAAACATATTAGTGTAGCCCAAGACATAGCCAAAGGTTGTGTGCCACAGCACTAGTGGAAATTTAAATTTGCCGACTGGAATGCTTTCGGTTAACCAACGTTTCAGTTGACCAGATTCAGATAAACAATGCTCTACTGTAGTTACAAAATTATTAATATAATAGTTGCAATCAAATTTCTTCAATTTTTCCAACAGTTTGTCATTTACTTGCCAAATTCAAGTTTGTTTGTACTACCGTTCTTTGAACTATAAGCATCCTTGAATAAATCCTTCTTGCATATGTTCCAATTAGGAAAACTTGCTAGTCATTTTTTTATTTCTATTTTACTTTATTTTGTTTTTGTATGTACAGTCGATCCCCCTATAAGATCATTGATTTTTCCGTTTTATCTGAATTACATGTTGTACGAGTCACTTAGATTTTACAAATATGTGAGCCGTTCACAGCCCGGCACACGTATTTGTAAAATCTAAGTGACTCGTACAATATGTAATTCAGATAAAACGGAAAAATCAATGATCTTATAGGGGGATCGACTGTATAATACAAAAAGTATAATAAATGTAATCTGCACATTTTCAATTATGATAGAAACAAAAGAAGGTCAACCTGGAAGTATTACAAAATGTTATGTATTTAATATATGAATGAACAGTTCAATGTGGATTTTTATTAAATAAAAATAAACTACTTTTTTCAGTCAATAATTGTAAGGAGTCGATTCTGACTCATTCTATTTTTGTTTGGAGTTTGATTTTTCTTATTTATTTTCGTTACAGATAGACTACCACATCTCACCCAACCAAAATTCAAAAACTCACATTACTACAATGACTGCTGACAACTACCTATTACATCATTGAACTCAAAAGTGACATCTTGAGGACGGGACTTCCTCAGGAAGCTAAAAGAATGATCTCTGTCCCAAATTGTCATCCAAAAAGAACCACGAAAATTTCTAAAAGATTTAAATGTCAGGGCAATGACATGTTTAACAAAGATTACTAGAATTACCTAAATGTTAGCCATTTAAGTATGTAAATAGGGTCAAGTGGGCATAATCATGTAATGTAATCACCATATAAGAAGGTGAAACAGAAAACATAATGCTAAGGTTAAAAAGGCAAACGAGGTTAAGGGAAGACTTTCAAGTTCCACTGACAACATAGAAGTTTCTTGATGACTGTTAGAAGACTTTATTTTGTAAGATTGTTGTGAATTTTCAATATATTTCAATCTCTTTTGCTAGTTTTGCACAGAAATATAAAATAGTTATAATTTTAAGTCCTCAATTGTTAGGAAACGTTATTGTACTGTACATATTTGTTTTTGAATTTGATATATTATCTTTTATTATTTTAAATTTTTTTGCTAACTTATTTCATTCTTGAACATATTCAAGCTTAGACTAATAATAGATATTTTTATATTACATATAGTAATTACTTCAGTGTTTTTGATTCAATTTCAATTTGTCATTATTTATTGCCTGTGTAAAGTCTAGGCCTGGCACTAATCAACCCTCATCTGTGTAATGCACTGTTAGGATATTAACAGGGATCTTGAGAGAATAAGATAAAGCATTACATAACATGTATAAAACTCAAATTATATAACACAAAAAATAGTTCTGCTTATCTAACAAAGTGTTTCTTCTTCACTCTTAACATTCATAAAAATTGTTAATTGAGAATAATATAATGATTGAAAAGTGTTATAAGTTTTAATAGAAATCATTATTGCACAAAACATCAATCTCATAGTTTACCTTCATTTGTAATTGTCCTTGAGAAGAAGTGTACCAAAGCATTTGGTAGACCGCACGAAGGAGGTGCTTTTTCAGAACAATCCCTGTGGTACCTGAATCTATAAATTGTTTCAAACAATTAATTTCAAAACTAATTTACCATTACATATTGTAATCTATACAAATCATTCAAATGAAATAAGGGCTGAGGTTGCACTTCATTCTCAGTTTATTCGACTTTATCACAGAATGATACAGTAACAATATCTGTCGACTTTCCTCCCACTTCAGCTACTATTTTGTCCAAACTATTAACTGAATTAATAAACAAGACATTTATACCCAATCAACAGAAAAACTTGTGTATTATTGCCATCCCTAAGAAAAGTTTGAATGCCTATCATCCAATATCTTCATTCTTGACATTGTTAAAAATCTTAAAATTAACTCCAAAGACACTTAAATTTAGTGGACCTGGATTTAGGTGACTTTGGGGTTAATCATAAGTTTGGGATCCAATTTTTACAATAATTAATACATGTTAAAAATCTTTCAGTATTGCATCTGTGGCCTTTTCTGTTCATCTATACAGGCTAGATTAACTAACTATTTCTTATTCAAAATGTTCACTATTAAACATGGCAATCATACATTTTATTCCATTCTCTCCCATCTGTGATATATCTCGGGAACTTGTTCTTAGCAATCACTTTTTACAGCATATTTCTATTAAATCTAATATTAATATATCTTCTTGCATCAATTTATATGCCAACAATATCAAAATCATCAAATATGCTCCCACATATATATGATAATGTACATAACTCAATTTATTAAAGTACGAGGGCTATTTTTAAAATAAGGTCCATTTTTTAATAAGAAGAAAAATACTGTAAATATCATTAAAATATATTTTTTCCCATATTCTACATACTTTTATCTACTTTTCTATATAATTTCCATTTTTGTTCAAACATTTGTCATACCACTCAAAAATCTTTTTAATTCCGACTTCAAAGAAATCTGCCGCCTGTCGCCAGAAGACATTAGGCCATGCCGCTTGTCTTGTATGGCACAACAAAGTTTTCTAAGGTCACACAATAAGCATCAGAATTGATTGTTGTGCCTCCTGGCATAAAATCCACTAACAAAGTCCCTTTCCTGTCCCAAAAGACAGTTACCATGATCTTTCATGCTGAAATCGAATAACAGATCATATCTTACAGTCGGCAGGCGAATCAATTTTCTTAAACATTATAAACTTCTACAGTTCAGCACACAGACAGACCATATGGCTGCAAATGGCAACTAAACACGCGTAAAGCATGCTGAAAACAGATGCTCATGCACACTAGTGCAATCGCATGTCACTCTCACTGTCATTCACAAACAGACCTTATTTAAAAAATAGCCCTTGTAATTAAACAAACTGCCAGACTTTTACCAGGCTATTTTTTAGTCTAATTAATAATTCAAAACAAAGTAATTTGACAATACTTAGACAGTTAGTCTGTAACCTCGTTAAATTTAATAATTATAAATTAACTAATTAATTTAAATTTAATTTAGAATACTTGGGAAGAAAAAAAAATCAACCTGAACCGAAACTCAAATCTGCAATTTCCGCATGGAGGGCCATGGGAACTAAGCCATTCCCAGTTGGCACCATAAGTAACCAATATGGTTACATCTAAATTAATTAATGGCTCTGAAAGGGAAGATTAGACAGAGGTCCCGTAGTGTAACTGGCAACACATCCATATGGTAAGTGGGAATTGCAGGTTTAGGTTCCACTTTGAGCCAATTTTATTTCTCCAGAATATTTTAAATTAAATTAAAATTTATTTATTTAGAATTAATAAATTTATTATGAGATTAAGACCTAACTGCCTACCTCTTGTCAAATTACTGTGTTACAAATTATTAATTAGACTTCTGGCAGATCATATGGTTATTCAGATTCCACACTCTACAGATAGATGTCTGCATTTTAATTAAAGCCCATAAGTCCTATAATATTTCCCTCAACTTTGACAAAATCTTACTGATGTGCTCTGCACTAATCAGAAAATTCTCCTTTAAATTCAATTTATACTAAAGGACGCCAAATCAATTTGTTTAAGCCCTCTCCAATCTAGACATCCTTCTTCACTAATGGTTAACATTCTCTAAGCATATGGACAAGCTTATTAGAAAATCTGGTTATCAAACAAAACAAGATTTGGCAGCACTCTTGCTTTATTTCTTTTTGAGCTGTTCCAAGATCCTTATTCTTCATAAATTTTTAAGTTTATAGACTATTGTTTACCTTTCTGGTGCTCTGCTGCTCCTACTCTAATACAAAACTATCAAATTCTTTAGACAAAGTCTATCTTATTCTGAGCACTTTTTGTTCGTTGTCTTGTTTTGTATGTTTTGTGCTAGTACACATTTCCCAAAGACAGATTTATTGTGAGTAATTCTATGCATACATAGAATTACTACTATACAATGTTTGTTTGTTAAGTTATGGCAATGCAACACTTGGGCAATCTGCCTAGAAAGGATGCCTTCCAGGAGGTCTTTTAAGGGAAACTGGCTCCTATTCAGGAGTTACAGATGTGGAGAAAACCCGGAAAGCTCCATGTGGCCAGCCCGTCCAAGCGAGGCGCAAACCCACGACCAAACTCCCAGTGTTCAGGATATGAAGACCGCTTGGCCACTGGTGGGCCACTACTATACAAATTATGTGTTTAACTTGAGAAAGTATGCTAGCACAAAACATACACAAAGTCTATCTTCTCTAACAAATTATAAAATTTGTCTTTTATTACTACTGGCAGATCTAGACTTAGCACTCTCTCCATCTTAGCAGGTTTCTTAGTTTGATTGTACTTTACTTAAGTTTATCAATGGTTACCTTCCCTGCACAACTGGAATTTCAGGGTCCATTCTCATACTACTTGAAATAATACTTGGTCAATTTCCAATTTTCAGACTTAATATTACCAGGTTCTCCTTTTTCTAGAAAGGGATTCTAATGGGCAGTTTTCTCTCCAGTTGTATATGTTTTTACTTATAACAGAGAATAAAAAATAAAGGATATAGTATGAAGTACAAGATCGTAATTAGCTGCATATAAGATCTTTCAGTGTCCACACAATTGTCGTATCATTATATTTATGTCATTGCAAAACTTCAAATAATTTCAGGGAAACAGCATTCAAAAAGTTGTCAAGAACTGGTTCTTCAGAAGTCAATCTCCATATAAAAGACAAATACCTGACTGGATATAAAATTTGTTAGCTTTGTGGATGTATTGTGACTTGCCTGCCAACATCAATGCAACAACCAGACAGCATGTAAGTACAATATCATTCTTTCTCAGAGTCCATATTTCATTTGAATAATCCACATTCCATTTTGAAAATAGTGAACTATTGAAGATCTTATATTAACTTATATTATATTAAACATATGTTAAGAAATAAGTATACTAAAATGTTATTATTGAATTTTAGATTAGAATGAAATTATATACTAAACTTAGATATGGAAGGTAAAAAACTTAATTATATCTAACATTTTGAAAAATATATACTGCAATTTTTGATATTTTATATTACATTATAATTAAAATACAATCAAAAATATAATTAAAAATAGTACAGTTGACCCCCTATAACATGGGTCCATATAATACAGATTTGTATACCGCAGCAAAAAAAATTGCGACCGTATTCGTATAAAGACGCTAAAGGAAACTCGTAAAATGCTGTAAAACGTCATCGCCAACTCGTTCACGACAGGATCAGTCGAATCAGGACCAATAGTGGACGAGCAGCTGAACTACTTACACACTATGGAGAGTTTAGGCGGGTAAGTTGAGTTTACTATCGTCTGTACAGTATATAAATTATGTACTGTAAGTCTAATACAGTACTGTAATTTTATGCATTTCTTGTGAAAAAAATATTTCTTATTCAATGGCCATAAAAATTATTTCTATTAATGATGTCTCCAAAGTTCAATGAATCTTTTGCAGAAAAATAACTTATCAGAAAACGTGCCCGCCGTTTGGTGCACTGCTCTGCGACGTAAACAAGCTTAAGAAATAGCATCGTCGAATGATGCACACTCGGTAAGTAATCCTACAATTTTTTGTTTATAGCATAGTTTATACGGATTATTCCCAAAAAATTATATGTGCTTTGGAAATGTTGAGTCAAATTAGCCTAAAATCGATTAATTTTATGGAAGAAAACCTTTCAAACAGCCATAGTCTGTAAACTGCACACATGCCGGGCTGTGATTGGCTCATATATTTATGGATTCCTAAAACGTGAATTCTTATAAAGTGGAACGTATCTACCGCATTATAGGGGAGTCGACTGTACAGAACACTCACTTGCACTCTTTACACTTGACACCAAAAAACATNAGCCAGTATTTAAACGAGGCTTAATTTTCTAATTTTTAACGATACAATAGCGACAATTATTATTTTAAAAAAAATTTGATAGGCTTAACATGGAGGAAAATTCAACGCGAAGTAGGTTAATAGTGATATACTAATATACTAATTACATGGGATATAATAATATACTACACTAATAATGGATTTTTTCATACTTTTCGGTTATCCGACCAACCCTAGTCCCCAATTGAGTCAGATAATCAATGCTCTACTGTATATATATATATATGTGTGTGTGTGTGTGTGTGTGTGTGTGTAACCAAATTTAATATTGATTTAAATAAATGTTAAAGTTATCCATGTACTGTACATGTAGAAAGAAACATGTATAAAAGGAAAGTTAAACAACATGTAGAAATTTTATAATAACTTCAAACTACACTCAGATTCTTTGAATATTGTATATCAACCACACCTTATTACTGAGAGACTTTGTTTATTATGTTGAACAAACATTTTCAATCCACTCAAGGGGTCATCCTCAAGTTATTGATGTTACATGAACTTTTAACAACTGTTCTTATCGAAACTCTAAGAATTTTAAATTCAAAGTGTTTCGAACATCATGGTAAATTCAAAATATAGAAAATAGAAACCAATTAATTAGTCCATTACATATTGAAATTGAACTAATTAAACTAAATATAATAAATACAAATA